TGGTGGATAAGTACCGATACCAACTCAAGCCGGCGACCAGTCGATAACCAAGTTGGTTGGGTATGGACCCTTCGGTGGACATGATTTACATGTTGGCATCTGTCCACCGGCCATGTGCAAATGCCTTCAAATTCACAGCCAATTGGGGGGGGATAGGGTCGAAAGGAGGATACCCCAGACAAACAACATGGTGGCAATCCCTTTCATTGTCCCTACCACCTCAAAAAAACGGCCAAAACCACACCACACGCACCCATATGACTCATATGAGGCAGGGTCAAATTATGCAGGTGTCCCAAGAGGGCATGGGATATCTAGAGCCCGTCCCCCATGTGTCTCCCGCGTGGACGATAGACCCAAAGCAGGCAGTTGCAACTTGTTTTCGCCGGAGTTTCCAGTTACCGGCCTCGCGGGATGCCAAGCTGGTAGTTGGACTTTGAACATGGTGTTTCTCAAAATATAGGACCGCACCAGCCATGTGGTTAGTTTCGTTTTGGTTTCCCTTTGAAGCCATTCTTACAGGCCTGTGGTTCGGGTCAGAACTTTTGGTATTTACAGGGAGACCCCCCAAAATGGCTGCGGTTTCCTTCTGATTTCCGCGCAAAGCCAACCAAAAGGAGTTTCCTAAACAAGAGGCCAGCCATTTCTTGATGGCAACTGAGGGCTAGGGAAGGATCACATGTGTCTTAAGGTGTCTGTTTAATTCATCCATATCGGCTTCATGATGGTTCTGTTGGAGTGCCCAATGTAGAATTGCTTGGAACGTCCAAATAATTGGTCCGAAGAAGGTTGTTCTGCTACAACCGGTATATGTCAAGTTTCATAGTCTACTCAAAACACTCTGGTGGCAAACCAAAGGGAACAAACAGACCATTCCAAAACAAGATCAACACAAGAGCTTGTCTCTAACTCCTCCGTGAGGGAACACAACAATTGCTGATTTCGCTTTAATCTCGCAAGCCCAACAAGCAGATAAACGCCAACGTGGGATCTGTTTGATTTAGTCCTACAATGGCGCTAAAATGGCCTTCCCAGGGGAAATGAGACCCATCCGGCCTCCAGTTGGGCTCCTGTTGAAGGATGGCCGACCGCAGGCTGGACATCGATGCCTGTAAGCCGTGAGCGAACACCAAAATGGGTGGCTTCCCTTTAAGGTTTCAATTGACCACAAAACAACTCAAATATTATATATGGATCTCCCTTCCAAAAAATGGGGATTGTTACACCACAACCCTTGGACCTGATCCATCTACCTCGTGCTGGAGAGGCGAGGGATTGGGTGGCTGTTTTGGGCATCCATATTTTGAGGTTGTGTTAAAGGAAACCGAAGGGAAACTACCTGTTGTGGGGGCTTCCCTACTTTGAGACAAAATGCAATCTTCCGTTTTGTTGAGCATTCCCTGGAGAACTTCTCCACCTACAAGCAGAGGTGAGGGTTTCCGAACCTGATCTCCGGGATCCACCCAACGTTGACAAGGGAGACACTGGCTCCATCATTCTACCAGTATCAAACGTAGACGGAAATCTGACTTTGATAACACCCAGAAACACTGAAAATCATGACCGCAGTTGAAAAGGGTATCAACAGCTTGGAGCTCCGGATCAAATGACCCAACCACAGCCCTCAGCTGAATGGCAAAAATACACTTGGCCTTCCGTCAAAGCTACAGGGCTCATTGTATGGCACGCCCACCCATTGTGCTGTGTGAGGGAAAGTCCTTCAAATGATTCTATCATTGCCAAACATCCCCTAAATGGTAGGTTGAAGGGAAACAAGCCCAGAAACAGTCAAAAGAACGACCCAATACAATCGTGAAAATAAGATAAGGTCCCTGCCCCACCTTCCCTTGCCAGCCCAACCAATCATTCCTGCAAGTGAAAGCCAACGCCAACTGATTCTCCCGTGCAAACTAGATCCCCCAAACAAGTCTCGTTTGGAAATGCTGACTTGGAGGGTTCCGTATCTAAGTGCTTCTTGTCCCCCCCCAAAAAAAAGAGTGTGGGAGAGCGATTGCCGACTCGGCTGCGTCATGTTTAATCTGCGCACGGCTCGCAGAATGTTTGCAGCTCCCTGTATATTTCCCCTTCAAGCATCACCAACGGAACAATCACTTGAAATGATATCTCTCTTGAGTTTTGTGAGAGGGTGGGCGCTGCCTGCTCCAAACGACACCACGCCTACACGAGATCAAGTTGACTAGAAGCACTTTGGCAGCTCCAGCTCGAACATCGCAACTTTTAAGTATATGAAGTGCACTCCTCCAGGCACACTTTGGCAGCTCCGGAAGAAGGACGGCGAACAAATGAAGGACGAACGCTGAAGGCCCCACGCAAAGCCTACGTGAAATCTGCCTGACAGTTTCAACGTTTGGAAAACGGCGCACTTCTTGGATACGCAGGGCTGCGGCAAGCCGCCAGAACATCCCCACAATGCTTCGCAATCATGAAAGCCCATGCCACATGACACAACCTATCACAAAAGCTGCTCAAAAGGTGATGGGTTGAAATGGTTGAATCTATACTAGTATAGGCACCAAAACTGAGCAAGCTGCAGTGACAAGCCTAGGTGTTACAATCAACAGCCCGCTTCCTCGCCAAGGGAAAAACAAGTATAGGCTGCAGTCTTGTTCAAAGGAAACCTCAAAGGGCGCAGATGCACTTGGCCACGTGTGACAACCTGAGTGCTGAGCGCTCATCTGAGAACGGCCAGAGTCTGCGAGCGTGAAAGCCTCATGCGGTACCGTGAAGACGATCGTCAAGGCCATCGGCAAGACGCTGGCAGCCCCGGTTGACACCTCAAAACCATAGGAAAAGAAGTTGTTCGGATAGGTAAAACTCCAAACCTCTATTGCAATCACGGCGCACCATGCTTCGCAAGCGACCGGCACAACAAACGAATCAGTCGCAGCGTCGCGATGGGAAAAACGGAAAAGTGGTATTCAGTGGCCAGGACCAAATAACAAATGACCAGTTGCAGGAAAACCAACCGGGAAACAAATCCACACAGAGTAGACTCAAAATTAGTAAGAGGGACTCTGAAGAATTGAGCCACTCTTCCATGAGTGAAATGCTCGGAGGCAACACCAGTGGCCCGCAGACCCCTGACCCCTCCCAATGTACTCTCGGCTTCCCCGGCGCTTTGTGATCGCCCCGTGTCCCCCAAAGAGCGAGCCTGCAGCGGGGCCTCCTCTGCGATATGAAAAGGCAGCCAAAGCCAAGCTGTTGCCACAACTTTTTTCGAAAATAGCGATCCTGCTGAGTGGAGCAACCTTCATCCACACTCTGAAAGCTGGGTCATACCGCAGCAAACAACCTCAAGCGACCTGAACATGTGCTAATATGGTTAACTAACGGTGAATGCTATCGGCACAAACTATCTGGCGCAGTTTGCTCCACTCATGGCCTAAGGATGATCAGCCCACAGAAACAATTGTAGTAGGAGTATACAGTTTTATCTTACGAGGTCCTCCAAAGCAGTGGTCTTCGAATGCAATCGGTCGCCTGTCGAAGAATGGGTATGGGACCCCGAACAGGGGGAGAAACAACCAAGTACTCTGGAGAGCAAACAGCCTGACTCCACAGACATCAATCAACTACAAGCACTCTTTCCAAACACGTCCATGATTTTGCAATACCTGACCCTCCACTCCGCTTCAAATGGATTCAGAGCTAGCAAGCAAACGTGCTAGCATCTCAAATGAGGCTCTCCGTCGCTCACGTAGGAGCTTCTCCCTCAAAGATGGTGCGAATACCAAACAACCTGGCTACGGCTCTGATAGGACAACTGAGTGGCCGGCCATAATTCTGCTCTGGCCAAGGCAGCGTATAGAACCCAGTGTGCCAATACGGCAGTAAATTAAACAAGAATCATAATCATATCATATCAATTCAATTAGCAAGCGTGTGGATCTCCGGTGCAAACTAAAAAAAATCAAAACAAATGCAGAATCAATCGGTGGATTTCCCAGTGCTTGGTCAGAAGTGCCTCTAACGAATAAGCAGCTTCCATGACACCGTCGAGCCAAACAGCCTCAATGCCCACCGTGCAATGCAGGTAACGCGCTGGATTCATTGATTGATGCAGAAAAGTTCTCGCTCGGCAAAGCTATCATCTCGCGGCATCGCCAACCCTGTCGGACAAAAGGGCAAAACACGGTGAAACCGTCCTGTCTCTCTGACCCAGGATGAGCGCAGCAAACCCATGCAAGCATACAGCATGGTATGAAGTGGCGGCAGCACAGCCGGTTCATCTGCTGTTGTAGCAGCAACTGTCAAGTGCTGCTAGCATGCCTTCTTGTCGATGCAAACCATATTAGTGTTCATAAAGCAAATTCTTGAACTTTTTGCTCAGCAACCACAGCAGTGCATCAAGCAGCAACTAGCTCAATCCTGCCAGCACTTCGCGTTTTGTTCTCCGAAACGAACTCGCAACTCGCAACGACAACACCTGCCGCAAACTCAAGCGAGTGCAAGCGTGCGGCTATGGGCTATGGGTGGCTAAAGCTGGAGCATGATTGAAGAACCTGTTTTTTGCGGGCAATCTCATCACCTCTACCCCCTGACCTGTTGAGCAGCAGCCGGTGCCGTCGACTCGTCCTACCGACAGCACAGTGCTGCACTCGATTGACTCAAAGGCCGGTCTTGGGCTGCCTCAGTCGAACACCCCAAACAGAATTCAGGCATTTGAAATGGTGCGGTTTGCCCAGAGCGGCCTGTGAGCCAGGTGAGACAATCGCAAGGAGCATTGAGATCGTTCATCCATGTCGAGATAGCATTCAGTAGGTGTGAAGTGAATGCTTTGCCTGACACGCCCTCCACATGACATAATTTGACCAGTGTGCATGACCCACTATCTCAACGCAAGGCACTGAGCTACGGGAGCGATGTGACCTGGCAGCTGTGCATCAATACAGGGAAGCTAACACCGCAGGCATGAGAATAACCACCACACCGACGCCTGAATTGACTTGTCGGGACTCGTAAACCTTCTTATTCCAGAAAGTTGATACGCGGCCGGGGAGATTGGGACCCTGATATCAACACCCTTCCCACATGAGCAATGGCTCAGAAACACATGTATGCTGCAAAAAAATGTGCCACGAGTCCCAAAGGATCGATGGGGACGACGTGGAACTTCACCGTGGCACACACACACACCAATGGATGAGAACATGCACATAGGTGCACGCACAGATGCAGGAAGTGCTCAGCTTCCCAGGAAAGAACAATTGCCTCCATCGAAATGGGAAAGCGTCCATGCAGAGTGGTTTCCTTTTCCCAGCGTTGATTCTCCCAGCTTTATCTCCCGTGTTGGTCGAACTTGCAATGGATCAACCACCATATCGCCCATCGCCCCTACCTGAAAAGGAATGGAGGTCGGGGTGTGACGGGTCCCTGATTCCGCCTTTCTAGTCTTCCCCACAAAAGGGACAAGAGGACTTCTAGGGGTACTCCCCCTTCCCCAAATCACACTCTTGAAGGCGTTGAGAGTCGACCAGTCGACCATCAGCACCAACACGCAAACTGATCTAGGGCTAGCGGCTCATGGGTCGATGTCTCTCGCTCGCAAGTGATATGGGTCCCTTCAGTTGCCCTGTAAACCAACCGACACAGGGGTACCCAACAAAAGACACGCCCACATGAGTATGAAATTGAATTGGCTGGACCCTCGATGCACATCCTTTTCCGCCGGGATCTGCGTCCAGCCAACCAAACTTGGGGGGTGTTGCCCACAAGCAGTGTTGCCATAAGGAAGGCCGCTAGATCTTCTCTAAAATACCCAAGCAAGGCACAAACTGCGCTTTCTACGCTTATTTACTCGTTGCTCAGAAGGAATCCAACAGGGAGAGAAAAACAAAGGACGGAACAGGATGGTACTGAATAAGTTATTGATGCAACCAGCATCCACGTTGGCTAGAACATTGTCCTTTTTGGAGACAATACATGTGATCCTCTCTGCATGGAGTTGCACCTCCTCTTTCTCTGGCAACAACCTCTTGGCACATATTCAATCAACGCCTCTCGCTGCTTTCGAGTGCTTTCAGAGGGCAGCTGACGCCCATCTCCACTGCTCAGGGTTGGGTTGAACAAGGGTCCTGCAATTTGCAAGGATTCAACTTCACTTGAATCTTCCCATATCTGCTGTACGCATGAAACATTGCAGTGCACTGGGGCTGCAAACAAATGTGTCAACAGGTGTCAAAGGGACATGTTTCATACTGCGTTAGCACATATAGCGTTCTTGCACAGGTCCTTTGATCAGTGACATGGACAACATGATCAAATCTACGAACTGTCACAGTTCCCTGAGCATAGATTCTTGAAATGATGGTTGGAGTCCTTACGACAAGATGGTTGACACTGGATCGTTTTCAGGCGACTTAGCCTTATCCTCCCAAACGCAATTGGCGGGATACCCTAGTCAAAACCCAACTTCAAACCTCAAACCTTGACTATGGATCTCCCACTCCAAGAGCCGCACCGAGCTAAGCTGCCCCGGACCTCGGTGGGCGCGCACATGTGCGTGCACAAGGGTCCATCCAGTGCACTTACGGTTCCTCGGGCATCAAAGCTGGTGGAAGCCACCCGCTCTCGCCGTCATGGCACAATCCGAATATCAAGTGGAATCATATCAAGAACATGAGCGACTGTTGCCAGCAGCAACCTTCGTGTCGGTTGGTCATATAGTTCCCTTCGTGGAAGCTCAACTAGGCAGGACAACGTTTCTTCCTGACGAAGCTAACTCTGTCAACCAGCAACTTCTGCAGCGCACCAGTCACATCCGCAAAATACGACCAGCTCAACAGCTCTGTCATGCCTGTCCTACAAAGCGCCTGAGAATGCATCGTCCAACGTCGCCTCACTCATGGAACAAACCGATGCAAGTCTGCAAATTCTACAATGATTCCGATTCCAAATCTAAAATAAGATCCTCAAGCAAAGGACTTGCATCATGCTAGCTCGTCGTTTTACCCCCCATGTCCATCAAACAAGTAAGCGAAGTCTCAAATCTGCAGTTACACAGCAAGATCAACTACTACCATGTGACATATGGCCATGGCGTTTTAATAGGGAACCAGCCCACAAGTGTTCTAGTGGACACGAATCCCCACCTAAATGATGACCATCAAAGGGTCCCCAATTAAAACTCCTACCCAGAATGTGTGTCCGCGCTGTTGCTGACTCGAGTCTGGCACTGGATCTGGCCAGAGAAGGCGCTGAGCAGCCTGCGTGGCAAAAAAAACAACAACATCCCCTTAGGTGGCATGCTGCATTCCAAACATTGCTGTTTATCTGGGAGGACTCTGCGTCCCCGAGAATGGTTGGTTTCCTTTCTGTTTCCCGGCAAATGCTGGTCCACCACTTTGAGAAACCCTCATATGTTCACATTGCCATGACGCTTGTCACCTTGTAACTTTCGAGATATCAATTGCCACATCGCAGCCATTGATGGCTGGCCATGTGTCTTGAACCAGCCAGTGTCTGTTGTGGGAGGCCCGTCCTTTCTTGCCAAACATTGCATGCAGTCCAGTCTTCTAATGTTGAAACAAGTGCACGGTTGCCTTAACGGGAACCGTGCGGCTAGGCAATCTCAACAGATTGATGGTCATCCCTCTTTCTTGCACCCCAGTGATATCATTGCACATGCGCCATGGCACATGCTGCCTGACAAAAAAAACGCCCAACGCCAACCGGGAACTCGAGGGTTTCTGGCAAGGGACGTGTATCCTGCGTCACTTGAGCGGTGGCCAAAACCTGCTTTCCACGATGTTGTATTCCATGTCTGCCTTCGCGTACCCTTTCGCGGCCTTTCGCAAATCTTGCGCGCTCCACAGTGCTCCTTTCGAGGAGCACATTGGGCCAAGAAACCCTTTCGCGGAGCTTTCGCGGACGGTTCACAAGCAACCCAGTGTTCCAAATCGGCCTTCCGCGGCCCCTTTTGCAAACATGATTCCTCGCGTCCCATTTGCGAAGCTTTCGCGGCCCTGTGCTTTTGCGCAACAACTTGCAGGACAACACCTGTACTAACTTCTTTCAGGGCTTGAACGCTGCTCGCTTGAGGAGAACCCCCCAGTTCAACTCACGTGGGCGTACATTGGAAACAGAATCCCCTCACAAGTGGTTGGTAGACCAAAACCCCTGAGTCATGTCCGCCATTTCAGGTCCCCAATTAAAACGCATACCCAGTTTCACTTGGAGGTTTCAAGAAGCCCTTCCTCTGCTCGCAGAACTCCGCCGAACGAATGAGAGAGGTGTCCTTCTCTTTGCCGAAACCCCGGTGCGAGAGGCGGGATAAATCAGAAAAGGTCCTGAAAAGTTGAGTAGGTTTCTTCGAGCATCACTGCCGAACTTTGGATCTTGACTAGGTTGTTGTACTATAGTTCATGGTTACGCTCGTTGTTGTACTCATTCAGCTCGCCTCTGCTCAGTCTTAGTAAACCTCTACCCTAGGAGATCGATATTTTCGGCACGCATAGCCTGTAGACTTCTCCCGTAGAAACTGTCTCAGCAGTAAAGGAGGAAAGTGCTTGGACGCGGTGACATGAACTTTGAATTCGCAGGTGCCAACCCCGCCCCCCCCCCAAGTGAGCAGCGCCCAAAACCAATTGACTCTTACCCCTTAAAACTCCAAGCCCTGGGGAAGTTAATCTTTTACAGACATATAGCCCATGTTACCCCAAAAAGTTGAAAAGTTGTGTTTTTTAAGAGGTAAGGACTGTTGGTTCTACCGTTCCAATGTGGTAAGGTTTGTGTGAGCCTCCCGAGCCCAAGGTATGGACAAGTCGCTGGGAGTGGTTCGAACCTTTCACCCCAAAGTAGCCACGGCCACCCTTTCAGGAATGGACAAAAGGTGCGGTGGAAAGCCCACCCGCCTACTGGAGTCGGCAGTCCTGGCGGTAAGGGCTTGAGGTCCGAAAACAAATGAACAAATATGTGTCTTTGTTGGAGGGTACTCTTTTTGGGGTTGCTTGAAGGGAACCAAAAGCAAACCAGCCTTTTTTGGAGGGACAGACCACTATCGCCCACGGATCAACTCGGTTCGCTTCGGTGGACCGGGACGCCGTACGCGCTTCCAATAGACCTGGACCAAAAAACTGATCGTTGATTTAAGACAAGCTCGACCCACTTTTGCATCAGCCCTGTCCAATGGAACCTTACTGGCCAACCTCCGTCCTGCACAAGGTTTTGTTCACTTGTTGCTATGTGTGGAAAACAATCATTATTCCGCAAGCAAAAACATCGCAAAGATCGGCCAAATATCAAGCTCATCCTATACGAACTGTCCGAGAACCGTTCGCTTACTTTCCTTAGAACAAACACCGTAGACGCCGTTGAAGACCATACTGAAGCAAGTCCCAGATTACCCTTGGAGCCCTCTTGATCTCTTCGTTCCAAATTCCAAGAGATGAACCATTTCTGGCGCATGACTTGCAACCATTGGACTTGAAACCTTTTGACATCTTTGGGAAAGCTTCATGCAGAACCAATGCCAAAACCTCGCCATGTAAATGTGCTTCGGGCTGGCGGTTTGACATCGCTGCAGCGTCTTTAGGGGTCCTCTGCCCCCAAAATGGTGAGGCCCAATATTTCGGCAGCGCCCCTTGCGTCTCAACATGGGTCTGCTTCAAAATAGGGGACCCCATGTTGTGTCGGTTTCCCTCTTGGCTCCTTTTAGAACCACAACAAATGGGTACCCTCAAAAATGACATATACCCTCATCACCTTTTCTTCTAGGGTTTCTTGCTTGGCACGGTGGGGCCCGGGGCCCTGTCCAGGCCGTTGCAGTTCACGCCCACGTTTGTGAGCTGGAAGGGCGGCTGGGAAGCAACCGCCTTGGACCCGTCGTGTTTCGCGCCGCAAGGGTCACGCCTCTCTTTCGCTTTCGAGGGAAATGGGACTTGCAACCTTCGGCTTGCTTCACTCGAAAGGTCAATTCCCAGCAGCCGGAGCGATTGAACTTTCAGTGGCTGACAGACTCTCAAAACGATCGCTGGCTTCTCCAGCAAATTGAACAAACGATACCCCCCTTGTTCCCACAATCGTGGAAGTGGACAAGGGGCTTTTCTACAGGATTGTCTTCCAAAAGATATGACTCTGCAGTATTATTCTATTGTAGTTAAGAAACCGGCATGGATATCCCTCCCATGTCGGACAGCACGCCACAAAAACACGAAAGTGCGGAGCGTAAATCTATGCCTTCTCCGATCAGCCCTCATAGCTTTGAGTTGCATGTCATGTTTTTCGGTTCGCATTCAGGCCTCAGCCCGGGGTACACCCTGCAGATCAACATGGAACCAGCAGCAAACATCATTTGTAGAGGAGTCGCATGGGAGTAGTAAGTTGCTTGCCCTCGACTCGCGTTGTTCAGTTCGCCCAGAACATAAGCTTGTGCTGTGATGTTGCCCATTGACGGTAATCCGCGCGGGGCATTAGTGGGGAGCCGACCTTTGCTTCGGTCATCTAGGACGACGTGTTGTTTCATCAACGATTTCAAGTCTTGTTAATCTCGCCAAAAAAAAAACAATACCCAAAGAGTGTGCCCTTTACCCCTCGCACCTTCACTGTCAGGTGGCTTACCTGCAAAGGGCGAGGGTGTTGCAAGTGGAAAGGACCCCAACAACAGTATAGGTTCAACATAGGCCCAGCATTCTAGACATATCGCACTGCGGATGGACACATTCTTGGAACATCTGACTTCTAGACATGGTCAACATAGGTCTGGCGAAGAGCATTTGATGCGAGCGAGATGCCATGATGTACTTGTGGCAGCCGATAGCCATCGCCTGGCATCAGATAGGGTTTCACATGCGCGTCGCAAAGTTCACGTATAACGAGACCATTGTAAATCCATTCAATATAAGCTATTAACTCACCCTTCATAGACCTGATTATGATTGCTGCACACTCTGCCAATCATGCACTCACACCCGGTTCCTGTCTCCGATGCTTGGATACATCCATGTGACACAATTGTTAACCAGCTGCCAATGCCGTAGCTGAGACTCGTTGAAACATATGTCCCGACATCTCAATCAAACAACCCTCAAAGTGAGCATTGAGCATTCCACGTGCTTCAGTTTCAATGTCAAAGATAAGATGACAAGGGAATTACTACTTTTCTTTGCGCTGGAAGCCAAAGAATGATAGCTGAGGAATCTAAAGCGAGCGCAACCAGCGCTCAGTTCAACTGCTACAAAGGCTTCGTTTTGGCCACAAACTCATGCACTCGTGCTGAGCTGTCACGCTGTGGTAGTCCTTCTCTGCCAATTTCCTGAGAGTGACATGTCTTTAGGCCTTGTCGCTGAGCCGAATTCCACAGGCGTAGTGCGAAACCGAAGGCCAGCGAGTGCATAGGCAAAACCTGTGTTGTTACTTTCCCACGGCTTCGTGTCCAAACAAACCACCCGAATAGATGCACTCAGAAAACAAAGCACTACCACAAAAACAACGAAGGCTCAACAACAGAACAACATCCGAAACAGAAAAAACACGCAAATGGACTCGGCCCACCAACACGCGGCCGACTCCAACACCTCCGCGGCTGTGCCCACATAGGCGCCGTTGGAGAAGACGTATGAATAGCTCAAGTCCTCGGCTCACCGCATCGCAATCTGGGAGAACTGTTCACCAACTGGGTCTGCGCTGTTTGGAGGGAACCATTTTGGAGGTGGTTCAACTGGATTCCCGAAGGAACACCATCTGTTTGATTTTTTAAGAGGTGTCCAGACAAAATCGCGTGTTTTACCGCAAAGTGAAACCACAACGCTTAAACAGTAGCAACCCTTTTGGCAGGCAATGATATTTCAAAACATGTTGAATTGGGGGTTTCCGTTGTCAAATGTCCCAAATGTCTGCAATTAGTTGATGTTCCATATTTTCCATGGACAGAAACCCCTGAATGCAATGTGCTGGAGGCTATGTTGACTGCATGCTATCTCGCATATATATATATATATATGTACATATACATATATTCATGTGCATGTGTATAAACTCAGATGCGCAAGTCATTGTGATGGCCACACCTCACATGCCACAATTTCCTGCAAAACTGCCTTGTGACCGCGAAGATTCACCTGTCAATGTTGACCTGCGCAGCACAAGCAGTTCATCCACCACTTCATGAGACGAATACATGAGATAACTTGCAAAAATTATACTCTGAGGAAGTTCTACACCACTCACCGCAGATGCTACTATGGAGACTATGAACATGGAATGCCTTGAATCTGTGGAACCTCTGGATGGGCCGATCCTCCTTATTTCACACGTCCCGAAGGAATCCAAACTCGAAGCGAATGAGCCACAGACTAGTGGTGTGGCCAGAGGGCTGAGATTCGAGATGATTGGAACCCGGTTGTTCTTTTGCAATGAAAGTCCAAGCTGCTCGTCTTCAGGAATAACTGATGTGACCCAACCAATCAAAAAGTCGCTCAAGGTACTTTCAGATAGCAGCTCAAGGCAAAAGTGCGAATGGCAATGGCGCCTTGCCTAAGCCTATTCCGCGCAAAACACCCCCAACCAGAAGATTCAATCAACACGAACCACGGGACCTTTTAAGAGATTCGACCCGGCCCGCAGCACGCTGTTTTTTTGAGCCAAATGACAAGTACAAAACAGTTCATGGCTAGGGCCCTGGAGGCCCCATGGCACGGCGATTCCTTGGGCTGCCTGTGAATGCAGAGTTGTCCACATAAGAAATGCATCGGGGTTCGATGTGATCCTTCTCTGGAAATCAGAAAGTTCCACTAGCAAATCTTGGTCTACCAAACTGATTTACTAGTCTACCTTCAGCCAGACTGAAGCCAATGAAATCTAATTCGCAAAGTTACACTTCAAAGGACTGCTATGGATTAATCACAGTCCATACTGGGTCCATTTTGACATTGAAATTATCATCTGAGATATTCAGCCTCCCCAAACAAAATGTTGAGAGCTCCTCACTCTTTTTTTGCTCGAACAAATCACGGACCCAGTCAAAGCCCTGACTTCCCCGACAAGGCCAGCGCCGTCCCTGCGGCGTCGGAGATGCCGTGGTAGGCACCTGATGGCATGAGACCGGTGGGGGAGTGTTCCCTCCAAAAAGTCTGAACCCTCACTAAACATGGACACACCCCCTGGTATGTAATCAGCGGTAGATCCGGGGCTCCTGTGCCATGGTTGCTTTGTGCTGGTTCCACAAAGGCGGAATACGTGGGGAAGGGCCTTTGATTGCGGGCACTTGCCCCCATCCATACCCTAGTGCATAGTTTGCCTGAGTGCAGTAATTCTACAACGAAATCAAATGACCTATTTGACCCAGGGAAATACACGCTGGAATCATTGAAAGCCGCTCTTCGCCATTAAAATTCTCGGAAATCAACATGGGAAACTTTGAAGCGCCGAAAGTAGCCTTTTCCACCCCAGCGATTGGGAATGACTCGCCTGCCAAGGGAACAGAGTTGACCGGGGCCTTGGGCCAATTCAAAAACCGAGTCAAAAGGTCGTCTCTTTGAATGTGGGCACTGACTGTTCCCGAGGACAATGGAAATTTGGGTGTCTTGGATTCCAACAGTACACAACCACTATTCTCAGTGACTTATGTGGATGTTGTCCTCAGTTGGCATCCTCTGAAATTTCCCTTCCAGCACGACTCATGAACTCCTGGTATGCCCTGGACTATTGGTTCAGTAGCCGTCAATCATGGCTCGTTTTAGATTGATCGGTATGAAACCATACATATACAGACTATAGCTGCCTTACATGGTTTCTTCTTGTAGGAGTGCAACCAACACATTATGTGAGCCGAGGAAAGCCAATTTCTCAGGACGTCACAGGCCAGGTATCGCCACACGGAGTAGCCGTCGGCGTCCACGGTGGTGGTTGCAACTTGCGCCGTTTGCGTTCCGTGTCCCGCGGCCGCCACGCAGGTCTGACCTCAGAGAAGGCATCGAGTCGTATTTAGAGCCATAGCCACAGCCCAAGACGCGAGGATTGACTGCCTATTAGGAGCTAAAGGCTATGAAAGGCTAAGGGCCATCCGCTTTCCCTCTGCTCCCCTTGCTCCAACATTGGATCCAGGATTGAACCCCCCTCGAAAGACTTCCCCGGATCATTTGCGTTTGGGGAGATGCCCCAGCAGCACCAACTTTTTTTCCTTCTAGATCCTGCTTTATACTTAGCCAGAGTTTTCTGAGGAGACCCCAGCAACCTAAATCCAACGAAAAACAAAAATTAGCGGTTGATTCCTGGGGGAACCCCGCCTTGGGACATCACCTCCCTTGGCTGCACAGCTAGGGGTGGATTCTCCCGTTCTTTTCAAGCATCGTGTCCAACAAAAACAACCCTCTCCCCTAGGGTTTAGTTGGAAGCATCAATGGAATCAAAAAGGATGCTAACAATAGAATGAGAACTCAAAAAGCGGAAGAGGTCAGGGCAAAGGACCGGGGCCAATTCCCAACTCAATTGGCGTTGCCTTGGGCCTGAAATCCGACAGGTTGCCTAGGGCTTCGAGGCTCATGGATCCCGCTCTCAACCCATGGCGCCAGTTTTTGGGCACTTCGCGCGCTACGCGCAAACGATGCGTTGATCGCGAAGCCCCGGTCATGAGTTGTCCGTCAGCGACATGCACTGCCCCACAAATCTTGATTGGCGACCCTTTGGTGGACACTACGTGGGGATGTATTTCCACAAAGGTTTTGCGAGTGTTCCGTTCTGAGCATCATAGAATGAGGATTTGCCGTTGGTTGTTTAAGGCATGCGCTGGTTCCGTTGCATTCTTCCATGAGAAGTGCCGATATGTTCGGTAGCATTGCCGCGTTGGAGGCCGGCATGTCTGAGGCTCTCGCAGTCTGCCCCTGGTAAGCAGGAGAAGCCTGGCACATGTGAAATGGAAGACAGCAATGTGCTTCACAAGGAGCTAAGGGGCCCCAAAGCCAAGGTAAGACACAGGATGCAATTGGTGCTCCGAGATTCTCACACAACCAAACCAACCCATCAGGCGTAGACTCCTTTTGGGATACCCCTTTTTGGTTGCCAGGTTAATGTGCAGGGCAACTCAGTTCGCTCGACGCTCTGTCCCCCCCTCGCCGCTCCCTGAGCAAGAATTGCCCTCATAAATGACTCACAAAGTCCAGCTGCAAAATACATGCCAGCAGCCACGGCAAGTATAGGACGAGCTAACAGAGGTCGATGCCGTGGGAGATGTTGGCCCAATCGCCTTGCCGTGGGAGGCTCATGCGCAGAATCAGACAAAGAACGAGGATTCCTGAGCACCTACGAATCGCAACCCACAAAACAGATCTGATTGCTCTGCAAATTATCGTGCAGTGTTCCTGTTGCTCAAGTCCCCCGCCACCCAAAGGGGCGATGGGGCTCCCCATGTCCATTGTTCCAGCGTTCCCCAAAGTGAGTATATGCTATGCATATATATATATATGTATATGGTGATACATATATATGTATATATATATATGCCAAGGGTTGCTGAGTTGGTGGCATTGACTAGCGGGAAGCGACAAGAACACCAACAACGTCTCCCATGCTTTCAAGCAAAGCCAAAAGAAGGCTTGCCACGTGGAACTAGCATTCAAGTTTGTTTCCTTATGCTGCTGTTAACTGGAAATCCTGTTCCCTTATCAGCTTGCATTGCTTTCATGTTGGCCAGCAGGGGACATGTATAAAACAGGCCCCCCTTGCGTATGGACAAACCCTCTCCACAGGTGACTCGTGCCTTTTTCGGAGTGTTTATGTTGTTTCGCGGCGACTTTGTGTTTGGCTTTCCGAAAGCAAAGGGGGCAGCTAGGGCAACCACCAGTTTTTGGCCCCATGAGACAAACCCTAACCTGGGTGTTGCCACCAAGCTCAGGGACCAGGATGGGTGTTTTATTTGGTGGGTGTGGAACAACCATCTTTTGGTCTAGATAGTTAGGTCTAAATGGTGGTCTGAATAGTGGGTCTTTTGGCTTCCTTTCCGGTACATTGGTCTTTGGCTAAGACTCCCAGATAGACATCGTCTTTGGATGCTTCCCTTGCGAGCAAAGTCCGTCCGACCTTCTGACGGGCTGAGCTTTTCCACAGGGGAAAAGCGACTCGTCTTGTTGGGGAGGTCAACATGCAAGAGTAAAACTCAATTTCACGGCAACAAACCAATTGAATCGGGGAGTCAACCAAACTGGGGTATTTCCACACAAGGCCCTGAAAAAGGCAAAGCGAGCAACGTCACCGCCCCCCACGCCTTGAAGTAGATGACATCCAACACGGCCACGCCGCACCTAACAGTTACCCAACCCCTAGGTGGGCCCGGGCCGGTTGGAATGTCTTCCTTTGAGGGAACCGCCCCTTCCAAACGAACGGATGGTTTTCCTTCGGTTGCCCTTCAACACAACCTTAAACAGATCAACAAGACACAGAACCTGGAAGGCAGTCAGCGACACAACCCAATCCCAAAAGACTCTCAAACAAACAACCAATGCTTGACACTTGCCAGTTGCCGTGCATCAAGTCTGCGCTTCCTGCACTCCTCTGTCAACACTTCCACGGATGTGGCCAAAGAAAGCCCAAACTGCGAAGAGTTGCCACCACTAACAAACATCAAGTCCACAAAACACAAGGTCCAGGAACTCAGGAAGTGAGTCGCAACAATTTCGCCCACCTTCCGGCCAAAAGGGCCCTGTCTGAACGGGCCGTTTGGTAACCCAGATCAGGTCCGAGGTGCGAAGACAGATACTGCCAGAAGGGGAAGACCGTAGTATCGCCCTGGCAAAGCGGCAGGCAGGAAAGATCAGCTTCCTGGCTAATTTGTGGCTGGATTTGTGGTTTGGAGGTTTGGGGGTGGTTTCACATTTTCCCTCTACGAGAAACAGGGTGTCAACTCCCCCAGCCATCTATCAACACCACCAATCAAGGGTTACCTGAAAGGACGGATTTCAAGAAAGAACTGCAACACAGAGCAACCGCGGAGTCATGAGCATGATTCAACATACAACGAGCTGGTATCTTTGGCGATCGACATGGGTTCAAACTCGCGATCCCCTACTGAGGGACTTTCAATAAAGAAAACACCAACAATTTTGAAAGGAACCCACAAATTGGGACCTGCCAGGTATTTGCTCAAACGACAAAACCAACAGCCAACATCACTCCTCCCTCAGTTGTTGCAGAATTCCGCCTCAGTCGTGATCAGCACCATATTTGCCTGGATGGCGCTGGTAATGGTTGCGATGCCTGGGCATTCAGCCGCGCCTGTCTGGAGACAAGGACAGCTTGTTGGCGCTGCCAGGACTCTTACGTCAGTATTGCCCCAGTTGCAGTGTTCTAGACAGTGAACCAGCTCACTTTCAAGTTTGGAGGTCCAAACAAGAGGAAATTCAGTGACTGACCCAACCCACCCAATAACGGGCGCCAAACAACTGGGACCACGTTCAAGAGAGGATGGCGAGCTACTGGGCCCATCATCTGCATTTTGGCTACGACTTGTGAGGCGGCGGGGCGGATGTCTCAGAAGGGAAGATGCCTGATCGATGCCGAACAAGAATGTTAACCAGAATGAACCAGAATCGTCTTGGGCGCCCACTTGAGAGCAATTGTAAAGCTGTGCAGCCCTTGACCATCTGAAAAATGGGTTCATTCGAAATTTGATGCTTCTGCTGCACAATTTGACCACGTATGCGGCATGCCTGCAACATTCGTCTCCGATGGGGCCTGGGTTGTTAGAAGTTCTGTGCAGCTGGGTGGAAGTCCCGCACAAAAAGGGCGGGAGGTGCAACCCACTAAAGTGCGGAATCCCAATATGACAGATGCGGCCACCCTGTTCCATCCATGTGGCATGCTGTGAGAGCTGAAAAGAGTGTCACTCGGCTGAGGCCAACACGCCCAGGGGCGAGGTCGCAGTTGGAGCAGCCTGGGCGATGCCAGCCAGCACAAGCAACGGCAGCAATGTCTCGGGCAAACTGATTTGTCACTGGGCATAAAGAGACTCGCAATCTTCCAGAGTGCTGCTTGGGTTGGAAAACGCAAACATCTGACACCACGAAGCAGGCAGCGGTGGCCAAGTGTGTCACGTCCCCAGCTGGAGAGTACATTTTGCCATGGGCAAATCGGGGCCACTAATTATGAGGGTAGGGGCGGCCTTTTTGACAATGCATTCCCCCAATGGTTCGTGGCACGTTCTGCCAAGTGTTGCCAGCTGTTCGACGTTTGGCCATGTACTCGGTTGCTTGGCATTGCTGCTTGGCCTCATCAACCTTGACCCAGCGATGTTGAGAGATCGACGTGGTTTCCAGCCATGGGAACATTGACCACAGTCCTGCAATTGCAAGCATGGCAGATGTAAGCCACAATACTTCTTTTGAATGGGACGTGAAATGCCATGTACAATGCACGGGGCCACGACATTAATACACACACGCAAACATGCATGCGCGAAAATTGGTCTCCTAGACTTAGGGCCCTTCTTGGCTGGTTTGCAAGGCAAACATGAGTGGGTATGACATTTGGCTCTTGTTCAGAGTTTCCGTCTTGGCGAACCCATGGGCTCTCAGCCGAGGCTGGCACGCACAGCTGTGGTGCAAGTACCCACTTTGGTCCTCAGCAAAGGGGGCTTACTGCCAGCTGGACCAAAGCATGGGAAAAGGGCAGGACGCTCCTTTTCAACCTTCCCAAAAGAGTTCTTAGAAGGGTCTCCATGTTTTGGAATTGGGCTAGCGTTGCATATTTGAGGCAAATATGGAAGAACGGAAATGGGCGCCACGCTTGGCGAAGTTGAGCCGATTGGTATCTCGGTCACCTTTGATATTAACACGACACACAGGCAACAAGGGATAAACAATTGCAGAGATGATCGCCCTATGGCGTAGTTGGCAACTACCCCACAAACTGCATTCCCTTCTAGTACACCCGGTGGCTTCGTGGAGTGAGTTCTTGTTGGAGCGCGTCACGCAAGCAGCAGTCTGAGCCACAATTGATAACTGATAATTTCTGAAGGGGTCGGGCGGCCGCACCTATTTCTAGCTGAAACTGCTCCTATCTACCCACGTTTTGATTGTGGCTGAGCGAGCAGCCAGGCCTATGAGCAAAAAGCAATCCTGGATCATCGCTACATGAATCAGCTCAAAGTTCAATCAACCTGTTAGCTTAAGTTTGTTTGAGTGAAGAGAAGGACAACGGAAACGGCTGGCCTGCTGAGCTGCACAGTTGCTCATTGTCAGTGGATCCCCGAGACACTCGAGCACCGAACACATCCACGCATGACAGCAGTGCAACAAAGAACATGCCAAGCACAAACAGAGCCATCGCCAATACCAGCAAACATCAGAAACAATATCTTTGTATCACTGCATCGCTTCGATCCACAAGGCTGGTGTTGGTGCAGCAATTGCACCGATCCGCAGCATCCGCACGGGCCAAGCAGTCACGCTGGAACATCTAAGTAGAGGCTGGCCCCCCAAAAAAGTCCAGTATGACCAATTCAAGGACAACAGTGGGCCAAAGGCCTCCACACTTTAGAGGACCCTTACGTTTCGAAGTTCGCTTGCCCATGGACATGTACTGGTCCTGAGGGGATTGATTTCGTACGGCCCCCAGGACCCTGCCAGATGACCCATATCAACAATCGATGCCGCATGATTGCCATATGCTCTTCTCAGTGGGCAACTAGGAAATCACCACAGGCATTCCCCAACTATATCCGTGTCTTGGCCGACTGATATAGGTCATGTTCACCATAGTGGGGCGGAGAAAGGCCACCAACGGAACCAGCCTGTAGAAACCAGAGGAAGTCTACGCGACTCGCGGCCGAGTGGCGGTTGACCGCCTCCGGTCGCACAAATGCTATCTGCGCAGGTGCCTTCGTACTCGTCCTGCGCCGAAACAGAACCGCGGGTCAAATTTGGGGAAAACTAAAGGACCCGCCGGGCCCCGCCCATGGAAAGGTTGTGAGAACCTGCCTAGAAGGGTTCTTAGCAGGGCTCTAAGAACCTTCCTGGTGGGGGCTGTTTAGCAGAGAGCACCGTGACTTGTACAATACCCCCGGAAGGGACCAAGCCCTTTAGGATTAGGAAAAAGGCAAACACCCTTTTGGGGGACCCCCTGACTTTGAGACCCGACCATTTCAAGCCTGAGTTTGAGATTTCAGAAGTTTCTCAGCTTCCTTTCCACGGTCCCAGAAGCTGATGAGTCCAAAAAGCCATTGTGCCATTTTGTAAGACACAAATACAGACGCACTTCCTGAGTGGATCGGAACAACAAAATCCAGAGCTACTTGTTCACAACCATCACAACCAACACAGTCTTCCCAAAAGTGTTGAAGTCCATGAACTCGAGTGAGCAGAGGAAGCAACCCACTGGGGCGTTGTGTGTGTGTAATTCTTCAGCCGATGGAAGTCAAAATTCAGATCCAACGGGAGTTGGGCTCTGCCTTTGAATCCAATTGCTCGGTGCCCCAGCCACCAGCAGCAGTGAGAAGCTCGGCAGGCGCTGCTCCACCAGGGTTGACCTCAGCGATCGGCGTTTCATCTCAAACATTGGGTGCCCAAGCACCCAGTTACCCTCAGATAGAAACAACGAGTCATTAGTGGCTCCAAAAAAGGGTTCCGAACCACAAACCTCTGGTTGGGCGTCAAAGAATAGTATCTGTATCTTTCCAGGTTGACGAGTCTCGCTTTGGGGAAACTGTGGACTTCAAACCTAGAGACGCATCCGACACCCAAAGTGCTGGTTTGTGAAAAAGGAAGCATGAAGGAAAACCAGCAAGGCGAAAGGTCAAAAAGGCAAGCCAACTCTGGCAATGAAAGAGGGAAGGAGCTGCACCAATTCCGAAAACCCGGCCTCCAAACAGGCCCAATGAAGCTTATCTTGCCTGGTGACCAGTCAAGAAGTGACGATAACCCGGAACTAGGCCACAATTGGGTTATCAAAGCTGTACACATGCACTCAAAGTGAACAAACCGCCCGACAGGCAAGCCATCGAGAGCGAGGCCTTCTACCAAAGCGGCAAACACAAGGCGAGGCTCAGAACAGCGCAGTGACTTGCAAGAATCATCCAGGAACCCTTCATTCATGTACTGAGGTACAACTTCTTCTGGGGCACTTCTGGGCCAAACAGGTAGCAGCGGAAGCTATATCCCGACTGATGGAATGTAGCGTGGCTGCGAGTTCAAAGCTTTACTGTTGAATTTGAGCACTTGTGAAACACACTGGCATCGCGACTTACAAAAAAGGCAGCAGTCAAGGTGCTGCGCCTTGTACCACTCTGCACGGCTTGCCCCATCAGTCGTTTGTTGTGGTGGCAGCTCATCCCAAGGGTGTCAAGTAGAAGTGCTCAAGATTGCCCCGGTCACGTGGCCGAAGAAGGTTCATGAAGGTCAATGATCTTCGCTCCTTTCAACAATAATACGTGATCCAGGAAAGCTCTGCTCAGACCCCATGCGCGCATGTTGGTTCCTTCATCTTATCAGGGTCGGTGCACTCTCATCTAGCAGTGCATGCCGCGCGCCCCATGCACTCGAGCACTCGACATCATCATACAGAAGTCCCTCCCTCCCCCAGGGTTGACATTGGAAGAAAATTGTTGTCTGGGACATAATGTTAGATAGCGAATAATAAAACGGGAGTGAATACAGAAAAAAAAAACTCAAAATGATTCACTCTCCTGAAAAGCAAAAAGGGTAGGTATTACAGAAGAAAATCTGCCCGAAATCCCGAAAATGTCCCCTTCCAAGGATGGACTATTTTTGAGGGTTGAAACGTCTGAGTCCAGCCAGAAATGTCCAGAATTTCTGGATTGCTTCCTGTCCCAAACCACCAAATTCCTTATCAATCCCTTTACTAGAAGATGCACCCTGACAAATTGTCAAGGGGGTGGCACACGGAACCCCCAGGAAGGCAATAATGCAGTTTGTTTAAGGGTAGGAATTGTGAAAAAAAAAATGGCCAGGGCAGCCTGTCAAGAAGAAAGCCCTGCTGTTCTCAGATAAAGCCAGAAATGTGCAGAATCTCTGGATTGCTTCCTGTCCCACCACCAAATTCCTTATCAATCCCTTTACTAGAAGATGCACCCTGACAAATTTTCAAGGGGGTGGCACACAAAACCCCCAGGAAGGCAATAATGCAGTTTGTTTAAGGGTAGGGAGTTGTGAAAAAATACAGGCCAGAGCAGCCTGCCAAGAAGAAGAACCAATACTAAACCAATTCTAAACTGTAGTGAGTCAACTGAAAAGAATACTGAACTAATACTAAACCAATTCTAAACCGTAGTGAGCCAGCTCAAAGGAATACTAAACCAATACTAAACCAATTCTAAACAATACTTACTGGAAAACTACTCAGGCAGGTCCCAGTCTGACCCCCATTTTGTTTTTGGGGGTTCTCGCTATTGACCCCCCCAATTCGTTTGAGGGTGGGGGCCCTTTATTAATCACTCTCCAACATTTCAAAGTTCCAAAGAACGTCGGCTGTCTCGACATGTTGCTCTGGCCTGCCTTCAAAGACTGGCCCAAGGGGGGGCCCTCTGGGGCGCTGGCTCTACGTAAACCACCACGTGCGTGAAGTTCCGGGTCAGCAGGGTGCCCTGATGTTGCACCGGCGCCGCGAAATATGCGGTTCGCGCGGATTTTCACTTGAATTCTCAGCTCGAGGCAAGCGACTTCGTGCAAGGGGCACGTTTTGACCACGCGAAATCCTTGTCTCTTGCCCGACTGAGATGTTCAGAATCCCTGGCCAAACCAACACCAAAAAGACCCCAACTGCCGAACTAGTGCAATAAAACCACCGGAGAGAAATTCCTGCCGAAGCCACGCCCTCATCAAAACGGAGTGGCTCCGGTGTAGCGTGGCATGTCTTGCTCGCGTGGTCCAACGCCACCCTCGACAAAACTACTTCGTTATCCCAATGCCCAGCAATTTGGACTACCGTCAAATGTCATTCGTCTGGAACAACCAAGTCAAACAAACACAAAGAACCAACCAAACAGCACAGTGTACCAACGTCGGCGGCGGAATTGTCTACTCGGATGGACGTTTGCAGTTCCAAGGGTCCAGTGGCCCCAAGAGTCCCCATGCAAGAGGGCTTCCAAATTGCTGGATTCATGTTGGTTTCCTCTCAGAAAGGGCTATCTTTCAAAGAGACCGCCCAAACAACCAACTGGGTGAACAACCAAATTTTTGTTGTGACCTCAACGCTTGAAGACCCGTAATCAAGCCCGCCAGCCATCTCGGACCGCACGAAGGGGCCTGAGGGACCACCAACCGCGTGGTGCCCACGGGTGCGACGCCCAGCAGAGACCGGTCCGTGCCGCTGGAGTCCGTTGCAACGTAGATCTTGGCCGCAAAGCAACCCACAAAATGAGTATGAGTCAAAATGAAAGCACCAGGGGACCGCAGGTTTTAGTCTTTGGTTCCATTTACTAGGGTTCCAAAATGGATACCCATTTTTGATCCACAAAATGAGCAGGCCCACCCAAGCCGATGCAACGCAAAACCGATATAGTAGGCCCAGCCAAGCCAAGACCCGGTAATATTGTTGGTGACTCATGGGCGTATATAAAAATTCAAATTAGGGGTCCCCTCCCCCTATTTTATCTCAAGGTTGGTTTGCGTCTGATGCTTTGATGACCCTTCAAACCAACCATAAGTACTTCCCCTAGACAGATCAAACAAACAAATGCCGTTTGCGCAGTCCCCCTTGTTAGGAAACACACCTCTGGCGGGGACTTTGCCTTGTAGTTGCGTGCATTTCCCCGCAGACTGACAAATATGGCCTGCCAAAGACACGGGAATGATATGATGGAGGACGAATCCCAAGTGCATTTTACGTCTATTTTGGTTGCATTTGGAAACTGACTCATTCTCCATCCCACTCTCTCTTTCCCATTCTCGTCAATCACTGTCCACTCGCTTCTCTCCCCTAGCCGTTCTGGGTGCATACAAAGGATTGTCTTTCTGGAGAAGACATTGTACAAATTTTGGAAGCCCCCAGAATCTGTTGCAATGTGCAAACGTCAAGGGGGGGCATGGGAACATGGGGATGGGGACAGGTACCTCTTCCGTGGCCATGAGCCGAGCATATCACTGAAGCTGCACTCGAAGCGGGTGAGTTGGGTGGAGACATGCTTGTGGTGTTCCTTTTGAACCACAAAAAGGGTGCTCTTGAACCACAAAAAGGGTGGGGGGGGGGGGTCTGTTGGTTTCCCTTGTAGCCAGCAAACCAGCAACTGGTGGCCCTCGAAAGCATGGCCGGTTTGCTTGCCCCAAACGCAATGACAGAACACGATACCTGAAGCTATATTTGGCCATGCCGTACCCCTGGTGAACATCCCAATCTCAACCAAAAATTAGTCACTAAAATAGACTAAAATGGGTGGTGCACCTACCCCAAAATGGTACCATTGGTTTTGACCCACAGCCATTTGACCGATTGTTGCTGGTGATGTGTTGCGAGTACCCACCCAACCGACCCATCCACCCGCAGGCCAAGAAGCCGTGAAGCCACTGGCAAGCTGCAGGTCGCCCCAGGCCGTCCACCGCACCTCCCCGCCGATCAGGTCCAAGCCAAGGTCCTGCCAAAATGGCGCCCACTGTCCGTAGCCAACCAAACAATGGGACGCCCCCTCCAAAAAACAAAACAAAAATGGGGGGGGGGGGGGGGGGCGGCAAAATTTAGTGCCCGCCAACAACACGATGGTGGGGCCCGGCAGTTTTTTTGGGGCCGCCAAAAACAGGTTTGCCTTCCTGGAACACGTGACAGTAGCGGTGCTCGAAAGCTTTCGGCCATTGGGCTCATTGAGACCGCTTTCATCAGATAACTCCAGGGGTGCCTTCAGGGCTCCCTGAAGTTGAGAAGAGCATCCTCCAACCTTGTGGCAGGAAGTTTCCCACGGCTGACTCAAAACGGATCCAATCTGCCGAGAGGCTGAGCATCAAAGCAGGCTTGGTGTTTCAGTACAAGCAAATGGGTATGCGTCCACGGTAAACCAGAAAAATGGGTGGTTTCCTGTTGGTTCCCTTTTTGTAACCAACTCAAAGTGCTCTTGAAAACACCGCCTCTTTGTGAACCTGCATCAACCAAAACACAAACCACCACCGGCAACCATCATCGGCATCCAGAAACATGTAATATACTTGCACAAACAGCAAGTCGACATAGCCAAACATCCATGCCTTCCAATATCTCCCACTTCACCAACCAACTTTTACTAGCATTGAGCCCACAACCATCTCAATCAGCCAACAACCAATGCTGAATTCTACCAAACACCCCACCTTCTTGGTTTCAGAGTGACAGGAGGACTCATGAATGGCACGTGGCCTTTCAACTTTTCAGAGCCGGCTTGATCATTTCTGAGACTTTGGGTAAGCAGTGTACAAAGATGGCAGAGCTTTGTGCGTTGCTTCACTGCCGCTTCGAGGGTGATGCAATGCGCTCGATTGACCTCCCTTCTGCGTCCTCATCCATGAAGCGCACATAATCCACCGCCGCGACGCCTAGGCGGCAATAGCGGTCCAGGCATCAGGCTCGGCCAACATCAAAGGAAACACGGAAACTCGAGTCTGTGTGTCAAAACAAGTTGCAAACCCTCCGAATGTTTGGTCTTCACAAAGTCTTAACACACGGACACACAATTCGCAGGGTCGAACCACAACTTGTTGAACTACTTCTCTGCTCGGACGACGTTTGTTTAGCCCGGCTGATAGTGCCTGCAGAAACTGAAGTTGCCATGGTTTTGGTCGACTTGTTGATTCAGCAAACGCGCACCCTGTGGCCACAAAGACAATAGATTCGGTCATTAGCTCCAATTCACTGTTGTCAAAAACAGTGGTGTGAAATTTTGGGAGGTCTTGAGTCTTGGATGCTCACGAACCAAGGGATGCAACATGGTCTGGGGCTTTTTAGAAGAAGAATGGGCACAGCTTGTAGTTGCTTACGTGTCCTCAACACGTATCCAAACACCTTAGAAGGTGTTTCCGCATCTGGACCAACACCGCCTATGCTTGCGGCCAAAAGTCTCCACTGGCGGGGTGCCAAAGCAGACCATGCAGAAAACTGCCTTTCAACCAAGCAGCGTGCACCCCACGCAAAACCGGCTCAGGTACGGGTCGGCCTCCAGGTTCCATTTTAGGCTCTTGCTACACTGAGAACATATTTGGCATTGTCTCCAAAACGAGGACTTCCCCGAGCTGTTTGTTGCCTCCTTGCTTGCCTTTCAAAACCTACCAAACCACGTTAAGACATACCCAAATTCCATGAACGGTCCTGCTCACCAGGTCTTACAAGGAAGCTGTTGTCTTCTCATTCTTCTCACCGATTCCTTTTAAGCAAGTATTTACGACCTACGGCTGGCTCGTAAAAATGTGAACCACAAGATTGGAGTTTGGTCTGGGCTTTCTCATCAAACCTGCGAAGCCCGGCTCCATCGTTGGACATGCAGAAAGCAACACAACAAAGAAAGTCCTGTCTGGCTGAGAGCATCTGAAGTTCTGAAGGAGTTGACAGCTTAGTCTCTGTACGTCTTAGAGTCTCTGGACAGAGTCATCCCGGCGTTTGGCCACTGCAGCCTTGGTCTAATGACCGCTTGCTGTGGCTAGTTCGTTCCGTTGCCTTGGGCAGGCACTCATCATCCGTAGTCTTGTGAGTCAAACATCTAGGGCTAGGGCTACTTGGTGAGTCCACGGACCAAGATCCGCAAACCTTTCCAGTTGGATCATACAGGTACTGATACGGTTTTATCCATCCCAACTGGTGCAGGATTTTGTCCATCCAAAGTACCAGTCAGCATTGCTTGGTGTCACTTGGGGTTGATTACATCGTATCCCAAACCCATTCCCTTGAGGACGGTACGGTCGATGATCTCCAAGTTCGCAGGCGTTGACTGCCTGTGCATTGCCAGCAAACATCCTATGAATTTAATTTGGGACTCCTTACTACATCATCTACGTGAGGATTAATGATGCTCACACACACCACCACGGCAGTTTTTCACCCGCTGTACACACTGCGAACCTGTGACGACGTAAAATGTTCATGTCAATTGAGTAACTTGATACCCCAAGTGAGCCCCAGCAAAACCCTCGAGTGACAGGGCCCGCTTGTTTTCGCCCTCTCTGTTTGTTGACTCTCCCTTTTGGCTTTTGGGGTCAAAGAAATAGGTCAAAACCAATCCCCCACTTTGTCTCTCCCGTGGGTCGCCCCACAAAGGCCATCATATCTCGTCAGGAAGACAATGGCCTTAAACCCGGAATGGGTTTGACTTGGACAAGGCTTATGCGGAAAGTAAGAAGCTGTCTGTCCGAAACTCTCTCCGAATGAGTCTGTGGGCCCCTGCTCTGCAAAGGTTGACTCCGCGTAGATCATGAAGTGGGTGTAGGTCTCATTGCCTAACATTTCTGCAAGGTCGGCAGCATTCGGCAGCTTTGGGCTTAACCTGGACCGATGGGCATAAACAATTGTGAGCATTTCGGAAAAGGGCCCCCAAGATGTCCGACTTGCGCACAGAAAGCGACTAAACTAATTGACATGACCACGCTGCAGCGGAAAAATCACACTTCGCGCCTCTCAGCATCTCAGGCTGCAAACCATTTCTGAGAGCCAGGCGATTCGGCGACAGCGGGCCGCTCAGCAGCCCTTAGCACCGACAAGCCAAAGGCGTGTCCTTACACCCTCCGGAAAGTTGGCGAATTTAGAGAGATTGGCCAATCTTCAACCACAATTCGGTCGAACACATAGGGCACAATGAGGAGTTTTTTGACCGTGGCTCACATGAAGACCAAGTCGTGGCCTTTTGTCAAGCATGTCAAGCCTCATTTGGTGGGACAACAGACAGCAAGTTGTTGGATTGCTGGTGTTTGTCGCAAACGTATGTCATTGTTGCTGCGATATTCGCAGACAAATCAGGGTGTTTGTACCGCATCGTGTAGGCATAGCTTTGCTCAAGTGATTTCGGCATGAGTCCAAATTGTCTTTGAGTTGGTTTGCTTGTTGCAGCCTTTCCTCGCATTGTTTGGTTTCATACAGGGTCCTAAGCATGGTTAAGGAAACAGGGATTTAGGTCCACTATGGCCTGTTTCTGTGATACAAAAGGAATCCCCCTGAAATTGATAAAGTGCATTCAATTGTCATGCTTCCCGCCGAACTTCCCGCAACAGGGGTCCTTACTACCAGGCGGATGACCAGCTGTGTGAAACCCAAGTAAAGAGGCCGTTTGACCATTGCAATGTTTCTATGAGCAACAATCACCACCTGGAATTCAAGTTGTCTATACCTCAAGGTCTACCCAAAAACACGTATGTTTAATCTTAGTGTTGGCGTGGTTACCCTTGAAGTCATCGCACTAGGGAATTGGCGGCCTCGATCTCCAGCGAAGTCTTCAAATGAAGGATGGCCCATATTCGGGTTCATGAAAGTGAGATCCTCTAAAATCACCCTCAGTTCAACTGGGGTCTTGTTAGCGCAATGAATGTAATTTGGCCGTTCTTTTACCTTTTGGACTGGGCGCCAACTGCCAACAGAACGGCTTCTCCGTTAAGAACCCGATTGTTTGTTAAGGCTTTCAAGCAGAAGCCTCTGGGAGAAGTGGCGGCATCGAACTTCGCCCGCAGAACGGCTGCGCTAGGATATCACAGCAACCCTGCGCTTTGGTAATTGGAATTCGCGGCGTCTGCGCTGCTCAGAACAGCTACAGCAGGAGTGAGCGAGCGTGTGTAAAAGTTATAAAGGCTACTAAAGCGAAGGGCTTGCCGAGCGCTATCTGAACCAGTTCAAGTTGCGCGCTGATTTCCGCTGGCTAGATGGTTTTGTTAGCTCAGGTTTGTTGGTTTGTTCGAACTGGCTCGAATCTCACAAGCCCCCGCAGACTCAAGTAGCCGTGGGACTCCTCAAGCTGGGAAGCAACTCGAACTTTGGCGTGGCCTATTGAATTTCTGGCAGCTGAGTCAAGCAAATTGTGCGCTCGGACAGTTTTAGGCTGACGCAGCTCGTTGGAAGCAGTAAGTTGCGAAAGTGCTTCTTGTTCTCTCCTTTTGGGCGCTGCAACTGCTTCTACAGCCTGTAACATTGACTAATGACTTCGTCCGCTGGTTGGCAAAACGATGGGTCTTCGTACCCCAAAACAGGGTTTGCGTGTCACAGGGCTGCGGTCGGGATCTGTGCTTGGGCCTGCGCAGTTCAAGAGCTTGCGTCCTTAAAGTCGCAACTGATTCGGCTAAGAGCGTCGCTGCCTGCTGCAACTTTGCTCGGATTGGGTTGGTCAATCCCAGACTCCGGCTTATTGAAAAGATTCAATAATTTTGGCATGTTTCAATAGTGGGCCTTCATTTCAATAAGAAGCACTGTTTTTATTGAAACAGCATGTGCGAAGGTTATTGGTTTGTAAGTTACATTTCAATAGCAGGTATTATTGGTTTGCAAGCCCATTTCAATAAGACCAGATAGCTGTTCCAGCCCCTAAACATTCCCCAGCCCATGCCCAAACCCATGCCACAGACGAACCCACTTTGTGGCTCTATGTTGTTTTGATGGAAACTCCATGAAACTACCATATAAGGGAACAAGCCTGGATCTTTGGGCCTGCCATGCCAGGGGTTCATCAAGGCAGCCACTGACAAGAAATGAAGCTGCGCCCAGCTTAAATCGAGTGCCAAATCGACTTTCACAAGTTGCTTTCGCAAAAAGCTATTGAAAGGCAGAAGCCCTTGTGCAGGGCCTCTCAGCGCACAGCAGCTCGCTCCAACTTTTCACTCTACATCTTCTCCCTCCTGGTCAACGCAATGGCCTGTGAGCCTGAACCACAGCCCTAGCCTGAACCTCCAGCAGACCTTCTCAGGCACAATGTGCCCAGGAGTGCCATTTAGGCAAGCGTGTTCCAGGGATGCCATGAAGCCCACCATGGTTTCACCAGTGTAGGTGGTGACATACTTGGGGTTAAGGAACTGGGCTTGGTCAGCCATGTGGGCAAGCAAGTGGTGCTTGTGCACAACATTCCATTGCAGCAGGCCCTGCTCCATGCACATCTTGCTGCATCTCACATAATGTTGCAGGAAAAGGTCAGTGTGATTCTTGAAAGCTAAACACTCCTTCCTGGGCAGGTGCATGTGTCCCCTTGAAACTGCGAAGAGCACAACTCTTCACCAAAACTATGCGTCAGTGTGGTGATGCTTTGCTTCAAGTACTTGTGCTTGATTTGGGCAGTTGGGCTAGCCCCCACCAAAGCCTCCAGCAGCAGGACAAGCTTCAGCAAGCTCTTGGGGCTCTCAGCTTGCTGGGGCTGCAGCTTCTTGTAAGCGTGCAAGTTGAAGGCTTCCTTGGCCCCGACGAACCTCACATATGTGTCAAGCTTGTCGTCCAGCACGGATTGGTCCACATCTGGGAAGGCAAGCCTTCTCATAGGCTTGGCATTTCCAGCGCCTGCGCAGGCGATGACAGTTCAAGAAAAGCTTCCGTTTGCAAGAAGACACCAAAAAAAACGCATGCTTCTGGCCTTGCGCCCTCTTTCTGGCTGCCTTCATCAACACCATGGCACAGCTGGTCAAGTCCTAGACAAATCTCTCAAAGAAATTGCTGCAAGCAACATGTTGATGCACATGCCAGCTACGCCAGGCAAGCAGTCCTTCCTTTTTTGATGCTGCTGGTGTTTGTAAAGCCTGGCTTTGTACACGCCAAGCGGGCCGCGGTAGTCTAGACCTCGCCTGGCTCTTGAAAGTGCAAAAAGCTGTTTCTATCCTGAGCATTGTCCTCAAATGGTCTTTTTCCATGGCAGTGTAATTCCCAGAGAGAAATTGGAAAGTTTTCTGGGCAACATACTGCCAACTGGGAACACTCAGGCGCTGGCACATGTCAAACTCAGGGCTGTAGAGGAAAAAGGACAGCCAGCCAGCTGAATGCTGCCACACCAGCACATCATCTGCTCTAAACTCAGCCACAACTCCAGTCATTGCTGACAATGGCTTTTGAGCCCGCTTGGCTGCGCCACGCTTTGTTGGGTCACACCAAACATGGAGGGCAGCACTTGCGCAGTGCCGCCCATGTACGTATAGCTGGAACACCTGACTGAAACGCGCAAACCAATATATGGCTTATTGAAGCGCGCAAACCAATAAGGCTTATTGAAACGCACAAACCAATAAGGTTATTGAAACACAAACCAATAAGGCTTATTGAAACAAACCAATAATCATTACACTTCAGAAATGCCACACATTTCAATAAAAACGCTGTTTCAATAATGACATCGCAAATCAATAAAATTATTGAATCTTTTCAATAAGGCGGAGTCTGGGATGGCACAGTGCCTTGCCCCTCTTCGTTGCCACGCGGCAAGTCGGAGCCCAATCCCCGCAAAGTCGGGTCCGTTGCGATGTGTTTTTGACGCGCGTTCACGTACCCTTTTCAACATTGAATTTCTCCCCGCACAAGGTCAACTCGCAAGCTCCTGGGCACAACCCTGCGACACGCAAACCCCGTTTTTGGGGCTTGTTCCGCCGACCAGCGGGCGGAGGTAATCTTTGGCTACTCCTTTTCATTTTGCTGGGCACGTGGACCCAACATGGGTGATTTTCTTCCTAGAAGCACCAACTCACCGCTTCCAGCAATCCTTTGACTCAAACTTAGCGTTCAGTCAGAAGTTCAATAAAACCCGAACTAACTCCAAACATGTTGGACTCTCCAAACTTCTGAACCCATCGCTTCAAGGGTCTAAAAAATTAAGCTGGTTCGGGCAAACTTGCTTAACAACAATCTTTGGCTGTTAGCTTGTAGGAGGCACGAACATTGAACTGAGTCAGACAGCGCTTGCCAAGCCCTTGCCGAGCAGTTTTAACTCGCTGATCAGCCTGCCGTCGCATCTGTGAACAGTTTTTACTTTACGAACTGCTCGCTAACTCCAACACTTTAGCTGAGCTGCGCAGACGCGCCAGCTGGCAAGCCCGCGTTTGTGTAAGGAGTTATGGGGACCAAAGTGGGTTCGGAAGGGATTTTCAGGCGCGGCCAATTGCTGCAACATTCTAAGCTACAAAGCGCCGCCGTTCTGCGCCCCAGGTTTTCAAAAACCGTTGTGTGTGAGACCAACGCAAGGGCCTAACGCGTTTGCGCCAAATTAACTTAATTGCGCTAACAAGACCCCAGTCAAGGAACCAAACCGGCCCCCACAAATTTCGAGGATGACTCTTGAAAGGATTCTAAAGGAGGGTGTCAAAGGAAAAGCCCCAGCGGTTTCTTCGCATTCCCCTCCCGTTGCGGCTGATTCTTCTGGGAAAGCGGCGGAAGGAGGCATACTGCAGGCCCCCGGAGGCCCAGATCTTGGGGCTCTTGGGAGCATCCACCCTGGCGTCACAGCTTCCCCGGAGGTGAAAACCAAGTGGCTGAAGTTCCGAGGAAAACCTGGGCTTCCCTCAAAAAGGGCGGTTTGGGAACCTGGTGGTATGGAGGTGTCCCTTTTGCGTGATCCGGATTCCCACTCAAAAGTCAGCCCCCATTAATTAACCAGGGTTCTTGCTCATCCAGGTCGTTGTGAATGCCATGGGTCATTTCCGAGAACCACCCCCCCAGCTAGGAGAAATGAATCCGCACTTTGGATCCACCGCATTGTTGGAGCCAGGCTGCCCCTAGCAATACCCCTCAAGGCGAGAAAGCTGACGGCAGCTTAAGGAGTCCCACCCCCAAACAGATCACCGGAGGTCAATCCGGGTCTTGTCCTTTCCGAGGCTTCGGTCTTGCCATTGCACTGCCCGGACTTCAGCATGAAACTATAGACACCCCACTGATTTCAGCACTGAAGGAGAGCAGCTCTGCAAGTCGCTGGGTTGAGGACCGAAGATCAGCAGTGCAAGTGGCAGCTGAAAGATGTCTGGTCCCCAGGAATCAGCATTCACGGGTTTCACAACATATCCCGCCCTTCCATGCCCCACAAAAAGCCATCCTCCCAAGAAACCAAAAAAACAAAAATGTCTCTGGTCACAGCCATGCCATCATGCCATTGCGAAGGTGCACCGACCTGTAACCAGGGCAGAGTGACATGTAGAACCCAGACTGAGACTGGCAAGTCGTGCTCCATCCGCTTCCAAGACCAGTCTGGCATGGTCCCAACTCTCGCGTCATGCCGAGCCTGGTGTGCAAACAATGTTGAAACCACCGCGAAAAGGGTCGGGGTCTCTGTGATTGAACACCTTTGTTGAACCCCGGAGCCTGGATCATGAGAACTTCTCAACCAGGCAAGAGCGAGTTGGAAGAAGGGGAAGACAACCATAACATGAACATGACATGCCGTCAGGAAGCAAGGCAAAATAATGATGCTCGACCTTTACATGTTGACATGTCTGGCAGCAGTTCCTGCGTCCTCGCATGTGATAGCAAGATTGGATTCCTCCAGCTCTAAGGTTACAGTAACACACTGAGACAGAGTGCATCATGCGTCATAGGCTCATCATTCTTCGCCAACACCCAATTCGCAACAAACCAATATGAAATTCAAAAGGAGTCGACCCCCACAAAGTGCAAATGCCGCTGTGCACGTCTATTTCTAGTCCCTGTAACATTCACCTAGCCGGGTGTTTGACTGCGGAACATTCCATCTGGGCGATGATTCCCCGATGCCAGTCTGCGAGCGCCGTACTTGCCGGAAAATAAATTATTTGCCTTGCAACTTTGCCCATGTGACATATCATGACAACATAGCCGAAAGGCACTTGGCATACGTATCAATGCGCTGGCCACCTCGCGAGACTTAGACCCCTGCCCTGATGACAAAGGTATTCCATACAGCCAAGCCAACATGATGCCATAAGCGCGGGAGGGGGGGTGTTGAGTGTAAGAGACAGCTTCTTCACATCCCATTCTTTTTCGCGTATCCTTTCTGGAACGTGCCATACCGGTAAAGGAACCCGTGCGTGCTGTTTGCAACTAGCAGGAACTCGTGAGCTGGCAGTTATCGCTTTTTTTTTATTACTTTGGTCTGAGAAACAATCAAAAGGAACAGGGAAACAAACGCAGCGAGCTTTCGTCCACTGACTGCAATTTTTGGATGCCAGGACTGAATCAGGATACTTGCTTTGCTCCAGTGCTCGCCCCTTTGCAACAGTTTGGTAGCACCTGACCACACCCATCTTCCATCGTACGACCACAAAGGGATTCATCTTAATTCGATTTGCAGGTCCGAACATTCTTTTGGCCCTTTCCCCTAACAAGAACAGGAATCCACAGCACATGAAGGAAACTAAGCCTGATTCATGTCATGCAGCTCTTTGCATGCCAATTATGTGTTCAATTCTGGGGTTACCAAGCTCGGCAAGATCCGAACCCCAATTGAGAATCTCTCACCTGCTCTTGAAAAGAATAGCATCTCTTGAACATATTCTCTTCTGTCCATCTTTTCCTGGGGTGTCCTTTTGAACAAACAGACAGGCAGTGGACCAGACCGAAGGACTTTAAGCCTTTGAACCCCTCCCATGGGCCTGGTGTGTGGTGTCGATGCTCGTGTCAGAGCCAAAGGCCTGCGTGGAGTCGGAGTCCACAGATCTGCTACTCTGCCGGCTCTTTACATAGACATGAATAGACTGGCAAGTGTTTGGAGAGGCAGCTTGCATATGAAAGATATTGGGGGGCCCTGGTTCCCGCAAACTTGGATGAAGTCCTGGACATGTTGACGACACCAATGCCATCGACAGCAGGTCTGAAACATGGCTTCACCGGGGTTGGACCAAAGCGGCACGAAGGCCTCCAACATAGCAATGTTGTAAATTGAAACATTGTGTGATGACTTGGGGCTAAGCGCTAGCAAATTATGTCCAAACGATGCTTCAGAATAACCTACAATAAAGACACCGCTTCTGTAGGTACGTGGTACAAATGCTACTTTCTCAAACTGCCGCTGAGTTGCAGACGATTGCTTCTTCGTTAGACAGGGATCTCTGAAGGTGTTTCTGCAGGACAAGGAGGTCCCCCCTACGCACACAAGGGACCGTTTCGCATGTGGTCTTTCAGCAAACGAGGGGCGATATGTGTTCCTTTGATCAAGTAGCTTGGCCAAATAGTACCCAAGCACCACGCTGTGGTTATTTGGGCCACCACAGTAGAATTTGTTGGCTATCGTAGAAAGAGTTCGTAGCATATGCGCTGCGACCCCAAAGCAGTGTGTGAGCCATCCTGCTCGCTTACTTTTCTTTCATGGTACGCACTGCGGCCACGCTGCATCTTGTAGCTAATCCGTGGTAGTGTGGGCTGCGAAGCAAAGAGTAGATTCACTGCTGCTTCAGGCACTTTCGTGGAGCATGGCAAGTTGGCGAGAGCCTCCCAAGAAATGACAAACAGTTTCACCTTTTCTTTTCGCGGCTTTCTGTTGGTTTCCTTTCAAAACCTTCCAATTGCTTGAGTCCACTGGAAAATAAAAATAAAAATCCAGTAGTGACTCACTTTAAAACCAGCAGAGGAAACCAGCCCGACATCGAAGCCGCCTCCCAGGCGCTGGCCGCAGTGGTACCGTCCGTGCAGGTGATGCTGAAGCCAGCCACGGAGCAGTAGTCCAGGCCTCTCCGATTGGCCCTCGCTATGGCTCCATGTGTCCCCAGAGTATCCTTTGCGGGCACCCGACCACTCATCAACCCGAGTGTTTTGTCCGAAGTTCCTATGATTGAATTCACACGGGTCTGTGTCAAATACGTACTGCGAGCCCAAACAAGAAGTTGAAGCTGCAAGAAATAACCTCCTTTCCTCCCTCCCTCTCTCTCTCCCTCCCTCTCTCTCTCCCTCCCTCCCACTCTCCCTCCGCCCCTCCGCCCCTCCGTCCCTCCGTCCCTCCATCCCTCCGTCCATCCGTCCCGCCCTCCCTCCCTGCCTCGCTCACTCACTCGCTCACTCACTCACTCACTCACTCAATCCCTCCCTTAAACCGCTTGCTAGCTCACTCACTCTCAGACACGCACACCACGCACACGCACACACACACACACACCCTGCCTTGGTTGAACCGCCCACCAATGCAAATGTTCTCCACAGGCGAACACCATCCTGGTCGGGCCGTAATCAACCTCTGGACGGCTACAAACTGCATGGGTGTGGAGAGCTGTTGGCCGGCCTTGAACAGGGTCCACGCTTGGTTGGTGAACATACCTCACCCAATGAGTACACATTTCACATCTGTCACGACATTGGTGAATACGGAGCCGCATGAAAACGGGGGTGACAAAAACACTCCTGTTCCGCCTGCGAAACCCATCAGTGGGTGTTGGTCTGCCAGCCCATCCTAAATTAAATAGTTTGGCCTTGTCAACGCACTGCATCGCTGAAGCTATCCTCATTTTTCCGTATACCAGCCGCAATGTGTGCATCGTTATGATGGTGCATACATGCCACATGACACGTGTTTACTACCCAATAATATGCTGGCCATACAAATGTGTTGAAAGTAGGGATCTGGTTGCAGTGGGCTGCCCGGCCCATTTCGAAAGGGTAGGACTTGTGGCTGTAGTGATCATGAGTTGGTTTTCCTGAGCAGGTGTGTCCGAACTGTCCCGAACCTAACATCTACAAATTTGTTTCACCAACCCGTAGGCGTGTGCCTTCCTGAGACCAAGGAACAGCACGTGTGGCACATGGGAAACCAACTGGCAGAACCATTCATCTTGAGCCAATCCAATCTCTTCATTTCCGCTCCAAGGTCAACAACCAAGGGGCTTCGTCTTTAGAGAACATTCATGCAGTCGATTCCGCAACCTTGCACGTCAGAGGGACAACTGTGCTTGCTTCCTGCAAATAGGAGCTGCTTTATCAATGTCTGGCTGTTTTCCCGGCGTCTGCTTCTGTCCAAACAAATCCAACAACTCCCAAAGAGTTCCCGTGGCTGACCTGCCCCTGGCAACACCCACCTTTCCCCATGGCAATTGCACAGGGAACCCGAGGTCATCTTGGCCAACGCGCGAACCCCCCCCCCCCAGGCGCAAACGAAGCTCCTGGGGTCACGAGGCTTTCGGCAGTGACCACCAGGTACGCCCCAGGCACCTGGCACATAGAGAACCTCCGCCAAACGCACCGCTTGGGATTGGTGGCGATTAAACCCACAGGAAATCCATCTTTCCCAACTGGCGCAGGATGTTGCCCATCCACAGCATATTGCAAAATTGAAGCAACATGCGCCATCTGCTGCAACGGAGTGGGTCAAATGATGTGTGCATTTGGCCAAGCGAAAGAGTCATCGTGCTTCATTGGTTCGCCGTGCTGGTGCGGTGTCCGGCAGAAGCAGAGCTGCCTTCCAGAAACATTCCAAAACACATCACCTGCAACTGATCATGACCAGCACGTTCCTTGGACAGGGTTGCTCCAAAGGCCTAGGCGGCCTAAGGGTCGAAGTTCGTTTGGTGGTAAAGACAACTAGAGGACAGCATCGACCAATGGTCTACCACTGAACTCCAACCATAGTGCTTTTTTAAGGGAACGCCAGTTGAATGACCATGACGCTGCAACGTTTGATCCTTCCAAAGGGGAATCATCATGAAGTATCAAGGGCTTGTCCTACTCTCTGCACCCAAACCCATATGTCAAAATAGGGGGACCCCAAACATGTCGTTGTTTTATTTTTGGGCTTCCCCTGCAAAGGGTACCCTATTGACAGAACAAGCACTCCCATATCTTTTCATCACCCCGGAACCAAAACCACGCGAGCTTCTCACGACGGACGGAAGGAACGAAGCCTTGCGGAAGGACAGCTTCTTGGTGCTCGACCATTCCTCATTCAGCTGAACGCGCGCAATGCCGCAAGGGTCACTCTGCATTGAGGGGGCAAGTCGACACCAAAGAGCAAGATGGAAGCCACCAGGACAACACATGGCACTATATTTGATGTGGAGAGACCAACAACATGCCTTGACAGACTTGACAGTGCGGATTTCTGGACAGCAGAAAAGCAATGTACGATAACAAGACTCCCCCAAACTAAGTAGGCTGGGCAGCCAGTGCACTGTATGTTGGTTGGGAAAGTATGAGGGTGTCGGCAATCACCGAGCACTGTGCATATTCCCTCAAGCCGCAGCCCGCTTGGCCCGAGCTGCGCCAAGCGTGCCATTCACGTAGCTGGTGATGTCCGTGCCGTTGTAGAAGACACTCACTGCCTTGGCATGATATGTTCTGGCTGAATTATAACGATTCACCAGCCGAAATTAAGGAAACCATACTAAGTAAGAAGGAAGGTCACAACCTCCCTTGGTGAGGGCGCTGTCGGCTGTTTGTGCAGAATGTTGTGATCAAACAAAGCCTACGTGACCACACCACAGTCAACACATCATATAATCTACCATATGTCATGATAGGATTACGGTCATGAAAGCTTTTTGTTCAACCAAGGACAATGAGCAGCGCATTCATGAGACAAGACATGTTCGGTCACATTTCTCAGTAAGCGTTGTTTGCTTGCTTTCTGCTGATTCCTCATTACTGCAACGGCTGAATGAATGTAATGAACTCCGCTCAGCTGATGAAGCAAGGAGCAACAGACCGAGGCTTAGCTAATGACATCCAGTCTTCAAGGCAAGTCCAGCCCTTTCAAATTGCTTGGCTCCCCGCGGTGTCTGCAGCAGTGAAGTTGCAGAGGATGTCTTCAATGCCATCCCCACTGAGTTTGCTCCTTAAGCAGGGTGAGAGAAATTGGTCTGAAAGCCATGGACTCAAGAAAATGGATAGGACGCGCCAATCAACCGGGCCCAATGCAGCTTCGTGCGGCATGCCCAAAAGAGACCAGGCCAGCCAAGATCGAGAGGTAAGCTTAACAGTCAAACCTGAAGAGCTATTCATTGAAAGCAACGCCATTGAACCAATTTAGGTTGGAGCTAAGTCAAGCAGTGATCCCTTTGCATTGTTTGTCCCATGGCTTTGTTTCAGTAGCCATCTGTGTCAGTATCCCTTCCGATCAAGCTGCCCTGGGCCCATCCAAGCCGCCAGGAAAACACAAGATGACGCGCGAACTTGTTTCGTCTTTCAAGGTGTGCAATTCGCTGGCGTCAAACCAGATCAGGTGCCCCCCAAAAAGGATTGACATTGATCATCCCCAGGGTGAATTGAGGGTCTCTCGTGTGTTTTGCAAAGGAAACCACAAAGAGCCCAGCCCAGTTTGGAGGTGTCCCGCTTGGAGAATCTACCATAACCCTTTGGCACCTTCCATCTGATTTCGCCGTGGGAAAAAAGGAGCCCGCCCCTTTGCACTGCTGCCTGTTTGCTAAAGAAAGTCACCCCTACCTTCTGCAGGCTTTTACCCAAAACAAAGCTGGATGCTAAATCGGGGGGTCTGGAACAAACAAACAATCCGGCTTCCTTTTGGGAAACTTCAAAATGGTGAGCTAGTTGAAAGGGAAGAGAACATGATGGAATACTAGGTCCTCCAGTAGAGGGAACCCTCCCCCAAAAAAGGGTATTTAAACGGGCACTACTGGGGGACCCAGAATACCAAAAGGGCAAACCGCCAAAAAGACAAGTTGAGTCTGGGAATGCGCAAGGGACGTCCGGTCTGGCGAGGCACGTGCCAGCAGGCACGTGCTGCTGGCTGGTCGTCGCCGTGAGCCCCGAGACCATGAGTTCCCTCGTAAAGGCCGGGTCAAAGGTGTCGGCCGTGAACCTAAGCACTCGAAGAAAAAGCAACAAATACTTGTCACCATAGCTGACCTCTGGCAAAATGTTCCCTAGTAAATGGAGTAAACCCCATCTCAAGTGCCATCTATGTCTAACCAACTAGCCTAAAAAGGACACCTATTCTTGGCACTGCTACCCTAGGTGACCCTATTGGAAAAATATTGACCTGGCAAAGGATTAGACAAATCAAACCGGTGCCTATTTGTCAACCAAGTTGACCTAACAAGGACACGTTTGGTTGCTGCCCTCTCTGTTTGCTCACAGCCTGGGTTGAAGTTCATGTCAAACACACTGCTTAAGGCATTGTGTGCTTAGCCACAAACAAGGTCGAAAGGGGATCCACGAGCAATGCGCAGTGAGTGATTCGGGTACACAGAGTGAACGTACATGTCACAATTGCCCTGACTTGGATAAGCCAGCGTATGAATATCCCAACATGAGGAATCCGCCATCTACTTTCACCCAGCTGCAACTTGCCTAGCGGTGGAATTCAAGTGCAAAGGACGTGCAAAATCTCGCGGCTCGCAGCTCTTCCGAAAAGGGTTGCATGAGCTGCTCGGCGCTTGCACCATGGCACACTAGCAAGCTAGTGCGGCTGGTCAAACCAATCGACAAGCATACCGGCATCTTCCAGCATTCGTGCTTGCTCAGATTCACCAGCAAACATGTTTAACAAGGGTTATGGTTGCCCTATACCCTTTCAATCGGGGCGAACGGACTGACACGTTTTATCACCCAGCACCCATGCCACATCCAACGTTGGTTACCCACACTTCCTCTTGCTGAAAGTGCTACAAACGATATGTAGACATTCTGTGCATGTGTTGCACACAAAGGGGACCCCTTTCGGGACGGGAAATCACCAGTCTTGAGACATGTGTGCCATGGGCAAGAGTTTGCTGTACTCTTACAAGCACGGGGAAGTCGTAGAATCCAAGGGTTTGTTGTTGGAACAAAGTGGGCGTCCCCCATGTGCTTCGCAAATTGCGAAAGGGACATGGGGAAGAAATAGGGCACGTGTGGTATTGGCCACTTTCAACATGAACGAGACCGCGCCCAAAGAACGCTCACTCCATTTGTTTGTTACTTGTTTTTCAAACGTGCGCGTGTTTTTGTTTTGTTTTTATCGATATCTTTTTAATAGTTTTGACGGTACCATGTTTGAGGAACACCCAAGTGGTCCCATTGGATGACTCAGTGAATGTGCTGGAGGCCAGGCTCAGCCAGGGTCGTTCAAAATAACTTGTTCGCCCAAGAGGACGGGGGGCAAATCGTAAGTCACCTGCTGTTTGTGCTATCCCCCAATGACCCATAGACACATCCGGGTCGAGTTTGAGACCGAACCGGGCCCCGAGGTTCTGCCGTTTCAGCCAAAGGGCGTGAAGTAGATGTTGTACTGCAAGACTGCAGAGGTGTCGGCGGCCAGATTCCACTGCAGCGTGCCTGGCAAAAATGCCCGGAACAGCATCCACCTGGATTTGTTTGACGCGGCTTGGGAACCCAAAGGCAAGGAACCCTTGATGTTGTTTTTGCCAACTAGTTCCTGAATTCCCCGAACCATTTTTTCAGGAAAGGCCCTTCAAGCTCGCATGCCATCTGTGAGCGAGTTGGAATTTCTGCCACCATTCACTCGCCACAAGTTGCTATCTGCATGGATCGGAAGCATTTCAAAACTGCGAAACCTGAAGCCCTCAGAAATACTTTGATCTGATCACATCTGCTCTTTGAATCCCTGCACCGGCACAACTGCCACAAATGACTATTCGGCGTTGAGGAATTGCGGCAGTCGTTTCTTGACGGTTAGAACAAGTGAGGTTCATCGATTATGCTAAAGCTTGCCAAAGCAAGCTGTTTCACGATTTAGGCACTGGCATGACGTTGCCCTTGAAATAGCACCTAGACTAGAAACAGTTTACCCGCACTCGTGGCCATGGAAAACCATGTTTTTCTCTTAGTTGGTTTTATAGGGAGCCCCCTCAAAAAAGAAAAAAAAAACACGGGCACCACTGTGTCTGGGGATATGAGAGTGTCTTTTTGGAAGGCAACTGCTTTGCTTCTCTTTTTGCTTGAGGGAAGCCAACAAAAGACCACATTGTGAGTACCACCCCATGTTGGCCCCTTTTCGGCGGCTTGCTCCAAACCATCTTGCAACTCTGCGTGAATTCGCAGCCGCCAAACCACCCAGACTGCAAGCTTTGAATGACATAAAGTGGAGGTGTAAACACGTTAACTTGCTATTACAAATCAATCGTGCGTTGATGCTTGAGCAGCTTCCGGACACATCCTTGTTGAATTGGATGAGCAGTGTGCCCTCTATGGATTGTTCTCCCCCTTGGCAAGGCAGCAAAACACTTTCGCGCTTCATTGGAGGTCCCTCCCAAATACATATGACATGCAAATTTACTTTTCTGCAACCAATCCGTTCGATCATTTAAACTGAACTCAAGTCAGAAAGAGCCGGGCAAGCATGACGATACCTACAAGGGAAACCTCAAATTGAGCACGCAACAGCCTCTCGGAAATAGAGCGGCTCCGAACTGCCCATGTTGGCAACTACAAGGCCTCCAATCAGGTTGGCATCCAGGTCAATGTCGCCTGAGCGCAAGCTATGTCTCATCCATTTGGTCACTGCCATGCGGTTCTTCATTCCTGCTGAGCTGAGAAAATCATGGGTAGTCATGGACTCATGGACATTCACAATTTGAAATATATTGCTTAACACACGCACAAAGCTCGGTTGCTTGAATTGCACTTGAGAATGATGATGATTGTAAAAACCTGGCTGTTAGGAGTGCCTTCCACTTCTTCAAGCCCAACTTGACACCTGAACGATGGCCCTCAGTGAGTTTTGACGCCGCGGAGTTGGTCCGACCGCATGAGTTGCTATTGGTGCACTCCAGGCTGTTTTTCCCTGTCTGAAACTCGCTCCGGCGTCCCCCGTTGTGGGCTCTCTGAAGCAAACAACAATGCTAGACAACTTATTTCTTATGTGTTGGTGTACACCGATATAAGGCGTGCACGATGTTTTACATTCACCATGGGACTCAAGAACAACACTTGCCAAGTTCAACTGGTTCTGGTATGGGTCAGCCAGACCAATCCCGTAAATAAAGCATCCCAGGCAACCACATTTGTCCCACCGTGTTGCCACATGACGGAAACATTCCGTTCCTGACTCACTGCTCCCCTGCACTCTGGAACACCCAAGAATCTGCCAGGGCCATATCTGCCCCGTGAAGCGCGCGTGTAGTCAGGCAGCTGAAGCTCAAGCCGGAGACCAGGGCATCGTGGTCGTAAATCTGGAGGCCTTCCGAGCGCAGCGATCCGCACCAGGCGGTTAAAATCCAGTCTTGATCGGGTTTCATCCCTTCCCAACCAGTGCGGAAGGGATTTCTAGCCCATCCATGACTCCAAATGATCCGTACATGCCACGTGATTTGGGCAACAAATCAGATCCTTCAGTAACAGACTCTTGGCTTACCCTGGTGAGTCGTGCTAGTGGATGTGAGTTACCCTCAAAGTGACACGAAAGCTGTGAAAATCTCCTCGATTTCCTTTGCAGCAAACATGTTGTCAAGACCAAACTAGTGCATCTCCCTTCACAACGGTTGGTCAATAACCCCCACGGGTGCCTAAAGGAGTCGTCTGCTCGTAGGCTGTGGAGCGCGTGTAGACGACGAAATGGGAATACTGGCCGTAGTAGGTGTCCACTGGAACCACCATGGAGTTCGAGCCTACAGCCACTGTACCTCAGCCATCGAAACATGTTGGGCCCGCGCAATACCTCCATTGACAAGGATTACTTGGCACGTCCACAAACGGTGTGCTGTCACACTTCACACATGCCAGCGCAGGCAGTCTGGATGTGCTCAAAGCTTGTAGTTCTTTGCTCGCCAGGCAAGTACTTCTGACACAAACATCTCCCAACCTCGCAACTCAGCCACCCATCACATACACATTCTAGGTCTCAACAAAAGAGTCCAACATGATCTCTAAGCCGGATATGCGAATACTCCGCATAGCCAAAGCTTGAAGCTCGACCAGGGACCCAACGCGGTGTCCACTGAGGGCTCACGTTCCGGCATACAGCAAACGGTCAGCGAAACGTGACTTGAGGGTATCTATTACCTTTCCCTGGATCCGCCTCACTGCTATTTGTTGCACTTCAGAACGCCAGTTTCTGGATTGAAAGGCAAGGGTGTGACGGTGGGTCTTAAAGTGGAGATTCCCCAACAAAGTAGTGTTCCCTCTGATCTCATTTATAATCCCACAAGGTACCAACAAAAACACCCTTATAATATGAAAGCATATTTGATCGAGTTGCCCAACAAGCTTCGGGCATCTCCGGTGGCACTCTGAGCAAAGTAGATGACGTAGTCCTGGCAACGGCGAACTGTCAGGCAACCTGGCACGTCAAAAATAGACGGGTATGCGCCAACACGTCTAAATGTGTGTTTCCAAATGGTCTCCATTGCCTTAGAGAATGATCCGGTCGGCATCCTTTACGAAGCCCTGCATGTGTTCTCTGAGACCGGGCCGGTTGTGTTCCTTGATTGGGAACTTGAGGCACCCGCAGCGCGACAAAAGTCAAGCAACTCAATGCAGATATAGAAAATCCCCGGTGGAAGCCCACTGCGCCCCGCCCCACAAATTGACCTACAACTTTGCCTCTAAAAGGCGCTGACACCGAAAACATGGCCATAAAGGAACCAACCGCTGGTACCCCTTTTCAAACCACGGGGATGGCCTGCTTCCGAAGTGCAAGTGGATCGAAATAGTGAACATGCGCTTGCTTTCCCTCGCATTAGAGGCTGCTTACTATTAATTCCAACACCGGACACAAGGGATCCCCAAGTAGAATGTGCCTTCATCATGGGTTTCCGCTCGTTTTGCCTCCGAATCGGTGAGCTCGCCGTATAGGCAGGAAACTCTCACTTTCGACCTAGTCACCAAACTCCCTTACAAATATACACTATCTACAATATGATGGTCCCTGTTGGCATCTTCGCAAGGGGACCCTTTTGCAACCCATTGCCTGTGCATCGGCATAGCCCCGGTTTTCGAGTCCTCGAGTCCCCGGCGGTTTGGAAGCGAACATCTCACTCTCGCTCACTGTTCGCCTTGTTGTAGGTGGTATCCAAAGGCGGCGTCCAGGCTACGGTGCCCCCCAGCTGTAGCGCGTCCAGGTCCAAGTCCAGGAACTCCACAGAGCCCACCGAGGAGATCCTGAAAGGAACACCCTCCAAAAGGGCTTCCACAGTACCCCCAAACTGTGGTTTGCCACCAGCACAGCTTCTATGCTTCAAGGGCGTGCCGACATAAGTTTACGTCGGTGCTCATGGAGAAGTTTGATGCGAAGGCCAGGCGCGCGCTTGTGTGTGTGTGTGCGTGTGCGTGCGTGCGTGCGTGTGTGCATGATGTGTTTGTGTGGTGGTGTGGCGTCGTGGCTTGGGGTGTTTTGTGTTTGCGGGTTGGGTTCTCGAGGCTACCCTTTTTGCGGTGGCTTAAAAGGAAAACCCTTTTGGGGACCCCCTATTTTGACACACGCAAATGCCTCAAACCAATGTAGCATGGTGCTGTGCTCAAGACTTGTTCATGTGGGCCCTGGTCATGGTTCCTTCAATCCAAATCTTCATACCATGCGACGACCCACGCAAGCCAAGCTGCGTCTCGACGATCAGAGCGGTGGACGGAGTCTGCTGCTCAACGCCGAAGGCAGTGATGAAAATGCCGATGTAAGCCATGCCCGTGATCTTGGTATCACTGCAAAGATAAACTGTCTGCGCAATGGCTTGCAGCCTCTTCCAAAATGCTTAGTTGTGGAATCCACCAAAGGTAGATGAGCACCCTGTAGTTTCATGAAATATGAGCAAGCGATCAATCAACCCTTTAATAGGGTTGTCAAGCATCAAACACTGCCAGGCCATCCGGCAACAGCCCATGATGGGCAGCAACATCTACAATGGAGCCGACCCAAATTTGCTGAGTTGACAGAGCAAAACACAATCAATATTTAGTCCTTCATGTAGACAAGCCTGATCTCAACATATTGCATGTTACGCTCCAAGCTAGCCGAATTGTTGAGTCAGAAGGCAAAGAGCTAGGTTTGCCCTGCCCGCCAAGCGGCATTTGTGTCCTGGTCAAACACCACCATTTCGATGCCTGACGGTTGGTTGGGCAAATTCCACAGAAGCAAGCAGGCATAGCGGAGTGCTGTAAGGTACCACCGGCAAAGCATGAATTGGCAACGGAAGACTAAGGCATGATGAGCAAAAGCAAATAAGCGGCGTTGTACTCAGGCTGCCCTCTGAACTCTGAATCGAAACCTTGACGTGCTGGTTAAGACACTGGATATGGACGCCTTGAAGCCTGGATTCCAAAACGTTGGAAACATTCCTCGGACTCTCTAGCTGAGCGACTCTATGCACACCCCATGAATCCCTATGTCGTGCAAGGTTGCCTTGCGAGCTAGCTCCTTGCTTACGCGACCCATGTATTAGCTTATGCGCCAGCCAGCATATCATGCCTACGCGTTGCTTACTCGTTGCTTGCACGTAGGCGTTTTGAGCATTCCCCTCAATAACTTCTCGCGCCAAGACAACGTGGCTGACTCGGAGGAAGAAGTCGATGAAGAATTGCTCTCAAGTAAATCAACTGGTGCGGTTGTGCTTTTTGGGTCATCGCCTTGCAGCCCTCTTGCTCAGAGCTTTGGATTTGGCCAACAACTTTGCATCCAAAGTTTGTGGTGCCTGTAGTGCAAATCAAGGAACGACTCTATAGCGGCATCATGGCATGGTCGAGCGGGCGAGATGAGCTTGCGCAAACCTTAGGCGCCTGCTTACTCCGGCTACCGCGCCCGGACTCCCTTAACTTTGCTGAATCTGCTGTGCGGCAATGCTTTGGCAATCCGATGGCTAAGCCCCTGGCATTCAACAGCTGTTGCAAGCAGTCACGAAGCAGAGCTTTCGGGGTTGCCTACAAAGCATGTTTGCACAACAAGTCCTTACTCCGTGCCGGGTGTTGCTTCCGCGGGGCCTTCCCAACACACAACTCTTGCTTGGCATGTAAACGTGGTTTTGAGAGCAGCTCAGTTGGCAATGTAAGAAAGGGTTCGCAGCTTGATGGCAACTTCGATGTGAACTCCCCCACAGTCTCAATCGCTCGTGGCAATTGCTCATCCGCCAGCAGTTCGGCAGCTGATGTGGCGAGATTGTGTACTTGGGCCCAATGATCAAGAAGCGCAGGCAAATGGGTTGTACCCTCCCACCAATTAACATGGAACCTGACAGGGGGTGCCTTTTAAAAGGAAAATTGTCTTCCGGACCCCTGTCAGGTTCCCTGTGTCAGCTCTCCTCGACTTGGTGGTTTGGATTGCTGGTTTGGTGTTTAAGGAGGGGTTTGTACCTTCTACAGGAACCAGGCGTTCAAATCCCAAACCACCACCAATTAGAGGGGAGCTGACTGTTGATTGGTGGGAGGGTAGCCAAAACAGGGTAACAGCGGGCAATAGGAAAACGGCGACCGTTGCCTTTTTGCAGCGCTGAATCCCAAGCTGCCACGCTTGAGACTCCCACCTCGAGGCTGATCCACGTCCACCTGTGTCTTTTCAGTGCCGGCCATGTCTGTCTGGAAGAACACCCGGTACCTGCCAGGAACCGGACGTTTTGCCTACACGGCAAACACTTGCCTTGAATTCAACATTGTTTTCTGCTCGGAAATACATAGTTTCGATTGTAAGAGGAAAAACACCCTAATTTTGTTTCTAGTACATAATTGTGTTGATAATTTGCGATTAGTAGACGGGGAGGCAATGCAGAGAAGCTTCACCCCCACCCTAAAACAAAGAGGAGGAAAGACAGAAAATGTGTTTTTTTCATGTTTTTTTCCGGATGGACAACGATACGGTTGCACGGCCCGGGGTGAGACAAACAATGATCCCAAGCCCTGGCAATACTAAGCTAAGACTAAAATTAATAAACAAACATACACAATACCTGTTCAGTACTGAAACATTGCCCCCCCGTGCGCGGCTCGCTGTGCGGCCTACTTGTTTGCCCGGAATCTCGCCAATCAACACATTTCATGCACGAGGTCCCAACATAAAGCTCGTTTCGAGAGAGTGCGTGCTTTCCTCAAACTGGGCTGTTTTGCCGAACACAATCCGTTTGGGGGGAAGCAAAACAACACGCACGCCACCAAGATCAGAACATATTATGCTAGACCGTGCTCAGCACTAATGCAAACCCCTGATCTATATCTTCTTGCAGTTACGGAACTGCGGATTCTTGTTTAGTGGGAATTTGCTGCTTCCAGGAGAATACCGCTGAATGACTGAGGGCATTTCTTTAGCAGGGGTCAAAGTTCAAAATGAAATATAATGAGAATGTGCTGAAGTCCTCTTTTTGCGCCAATACGGTGCTGACAGAAATTTCTGTTTTATGGCTGCTCTCTGAAAGACCTAAACCCAAGGCTGCTTTGCCAGCTGCCCCTTCGTTGCAGTCTGTCTCGGGGGAACAAATGGAACCTTGAACTGGTGGCAGTGAAGTCGTAGACAGGGAGCTATGGTTCAAACAGGTACTTAGACTTGTTCGTGTCTGAAACACAACGCCCGGCCAGCTGCTTTTTCTCAGCACTCGCTGAGTTTGGATTATAGTGCTTTGACTGTAGGTCTCTGAGCATGCCTTTGAAGCCAAGAAGCAACATAGCTGCACACGATCCTCTTTGCTGGATTTACGCTCTTGCTAACAATCATGGGAGTCTCTTACGATCAAGACTTAATTTGGTTTTGAAGTCCCCCACCTTCCGATTCTAATTAACTAGACCGTCTACAGTACGCGTGGTCGTTAGTTGATGAATCCTGGTGTCTGTTAAAAAAAGAAGAAGCCAACTCAGTATTGCACACTAACTTGAACAGACACAATAGTCCGACGAATCGCAGAACGGCACTTTGACAGACCCAACAATCGACACGTTGTTCACGTACATTTTGTTTGCGATCCTACAAGACCTGCCTCATTGTGCTACAAGTCAGGATTTCGTCTCATGCGGTGACGCATGGCGCCCTACTTTCAAAATGGCAAGAACCGAAGAACAAACAATTGTGCCAAGAGGTAAATTGTGAAAACCTGAGAGCTCAGTCGAGGAGCTGAAGGAAAAACGACAGTGGTGATAAACCAGTCCGTCTTGTCCATCTTTCGTCCCGTCAGCCAGATCAGCTTGATATGGCCATATATGGGTATGTATGTCCAGCTTCAGCGTGCTGATCTGTAAAACCAAAGGGAAACCACCGATTCTGAAGCTTCGGTCCCCAAGTTGGAGACAAACTGATCTGGGTCACTTGTCGACGATGCGCTGGTCCAGAGGGGGATCCCAGGTGATCTCACCTCCTACTTCTTCTGCATCCAAATCCTGCGCTCACTGCTGGGGATTCTCTTTGACTCCCTTGAGGAAATAAAGGGATACGGCTCGATAGTACCCAAACTGCCCACTCACGGGTGCCCTAGGGCGCCAAGATCTTGGTATGGTCAAACCATCCCTTTGGGCCTATTGCGAGTCCCAAGTGAGATGCTTCACCGAACCTCAACAGTTGACCGCGGCTAGGCTGAATCTAAAAAGCCTTTATATGTGTTCCTCTCTTTATGAGCCCCTAGTTTATCGGTCGAATTGACCTTCTGCATGGCTTTCACCAAAGGGGGCAAAAATGGCCATGGGGCATGGGTCCATATTAATATCAGTCTTTGACCAGAGAAATACCAAATGGATTATGTTGTCCAATAACAAGTATCCGAGACAGGGGAGAAAACATACACTTGTTGCCAGCCACATACATACGCGGCGGTTGGCAAACTCACATGTGTTCATTTCCTCGGTTTTCGCAGCTCCCCCGAGAAAACAGAGCACCTAGGGCGAATGTGATGCTTGAATGACGGTTTCCGGGCTTTGTGACCTCCCAGGATCGCAAATGGTTCAGCCAGGAGGGTCACAAGGGAAACATTCAACAGGATTCCGAAAATTTCACCACCCCCGTTAGAGGCTCCAGACAAGGTCGACCCCCCCCATAGAATAGGGTTAGTCCATCCTTCTTGGAAAATAAAATGAAATAGTCCAACTTTGACAGAACATACATTGACAAATCACGATGTATTTTGACCTCATTTTGGGGGTTTGGTTTGAACAGTCCAAGTTGGACAAAACGTACTTCATGTTCATTTTGGATGAACTCATGATTATTTTGCACACCCGCTTTTTCACAAAATGAAGTCGGGGGGGTTCAACTCGGATGGTTATTTGACCGCCCTTCCGCCCCCCTAAAGTTAATATTAACATGGTCCAACTCCACAATGAATATAGTTAGACTGTCAAGTTAGACTTCAACAAATACCATGTCCAGAATGTAGTTGCCGCAATCCAACATGTTCCAGGCCTTGAATGGATTTGAAAAAGGCGCTTCCTGGGGAAGACGCGGGTGGCCTCGTTGTAATTTGAAATGAGTTCAGTCCAACTTTGAAGGGTTTTTCACAGAGGCCAAATGAGTTTAATGAAAAAAGACTAAAACAAAATACGAGCCAATTTTTAGTGCCCTAATGGAGGGCACTTGGCCTGTTTTTGAATCGAGGGCACTTCAGGCCCCTTTGCTTCGTTTGCTAAGTGCCCTTTTTGGCTTGATAGGGGTTGGGATTCTGTTGAAATCGAAGAGCTACCCGTGTCGAAGTGTGACAACTGTCACATTTGATTGGGGCCGACCCGGAAAGCCCGAACATGGCGTTTTGAGTGTCAAAGAGTGTCATTTGAGTGTCATTGGGGGTGTGAATTGAGGTCACTTACCCCTTGACAAGGTCACTTACGCTAGTGTCGGTCCCCCCTGCGTGAGTGTCATTCACGTGTCGCTGCGGCTCGATTTGCCCAGTGTCGGTCCCGCCCCCGTGCGAGTGTCATTCGCATTCACGTGTCGCTCCGGTTCGATTTGCCCGGACTGAGGAGGGATCTGCTGGGGAGGGCAACCCTGAGGGTCTAAGTGCCCTTTAAATGGCTTAAGTGACCTCTTTGATTTAGGACTAAGTGCCCTTATTTTCCAAATGGATCATAGCACCAAAACAATGAATCGAGGGCACTAAAAAGAAGCTGGTAGATGACTTATTTTAGGATCCAACCCGCCCCAACTTTATTTTGAGCCTGCAACGAGGGTTTTCACCTGACAGGCTATGGAAATCTTCGAAACTCCGAATTTGATCCAGTCCCGGTCGAAGAGGGTGATGTTGTCGACTTCTGCCACGGAGTCCAGGATGAGCAAAGCTGCCGGCGTCGTCATCTCTGCCAAAGAGGACTTGCTGTACCTCGGGAATCTGGACGCAAGTCACGCCGTTGCTTTGACTTTTTTTCGAGGGGAACCAAGGAACTCGTACCAAAAGGGGCTCCCAAATAGATAATGGGGATCCGCGAGATGGGGAAAGTGGAGCAACGTCAAAAGATCGCCTGGCAAAACGGCTCACAATGACTGTCGCCGAAGATGCCAAAACGGCTAACACAGCAGACAACTCAGGCCCGCAAGCGTGCGCAAACAAACAAACGCGTAAGCTGCTCATCCAAAGATTCTGGCGTTCAATCGGCCTCCCCTGCCAGAAATGCAAGATGCAGCCAGACAAAGCCTAGTCAAGGCAAGAGTGCTGACTTGCAAATGGGAGCCCAGTGAACACGCTGGCGCATCCGTGACACTGTCATCTACCCAGCACAGGGTGAGTTGGCCTCAAACTCCCCATTGTGCCCACATGGGAGGCTCAAATAAATCCATTTGCCCCTCCTCATGCATAGCTCCTCCTCACACTGTGCCCCACACCAGGACAGCGGTGTGCTGGATGCCGCATTCCGTATCCGGATGTGCCACGGCACCTGTTGGGTAGGGCTTGCTGATGTGCTTACACGGTCAACCGACAATAGGCTGCAATGTGCAGCATCGATGCTTGGCGTGACTACAGAGACACACGCACACACACACACACCTTTCGGGATACTCCCAAACAAAAAGAAGGAAGGTTGCCCTGCAGCAAAAGACAAGATCCTGCAAACCACGTGCTCATGAGTCACGTAAAGTGTGCAACGCAAAGCTGCCAATCAATCGGCCTCCCCTGCCAGCAATGCAAGATGCAGCCAAACAAAGCCTAGTCAAGGCAAGAGCGCTGACTTGCAAATGGGAGCCCAATGAACACGCTGGCGCATCCGCGACACTGTCATCCACCCAGCACAGGGTGGGTTGGCCGCAAACTCCCCATTTTGCCCACATGGGAGGCTCAAATAAATCCATTTGCCCCTCCTCATGCATAGCTGTGCCGCACACCAGGCCAGCGGTGTGCAGGATGCCGCATTACACACACCCACACACACACACACACCATTCGGGATACTCCCAAACAAAAAGAAGGAAGGTTGCCCTGCAGCAAAATACAAGATCCTGCAAACCCCGTGCTCATGAGTCACGCAAAGCGCGCAACGCAAAGCCGCTAAAACTGCAAACAACTGGCCCGAATGCGTGCGCAGCAAAAAAACGCGTAGGCTCCTCATCCAATCGTGCGTTCGAACAGCCTCCACTGCCAGCAATGCAAGATGCAGCCAGACAAAGCCTAGTCAAGGCAAGAGTGCTGACTTGCAAATGGGGGCCCAGTGAACACGCTGGCGCATCCGTGCCACTGTCATCCACCCAGCACAGGGTGGGTCGGCCTCAAACTCCCCATTGTGCCCACATGGGAGGCTCAAGTAAATCCATTTGCCCCTCCTCATGCATAGCTCCTCCTCACACTGTGCCCCACACCAGGCCAGCGGTGTGCAGGATGCCGCATTCCGTATCCGGATGTGCCACGGCACCTGTTGGGTAGGGCTTGTTGATTTCCTTACACGGTCATCCGACAACAGGCTGCAATGTGCAGCATCGATGCTTGGCATGACTACAGAGATACACGCACACACACACACCATTCGGGATACTCCCAAACAAAAAGAAGGAAGGTTGCCCTGCAGCAAAATACAAGATCCTGCAAACACCGTGCTCATGAGTCATGCAAAGCGCGCAACGCAAAGCCGCTCAAACTGCAAACAACTGGCCCGAATGCGTGCGCAGCAAACAAACGCGTAGGCTCCTCATCCAATCGTGCGTTCGAACAGCCTCCCCTGCCAGCAATGCAAGATGCAGCCAGACAACGCCTAGTCAAGGCACGAGTGCTAACTTGCAAATGGGGGCCCAGTGAACACGCTGGCGCATCCGTGACACTGTCATCCACCCAGCACAGGGTGGGTCGGCCTCAAACTCCCCATTGTGCCCACATGGGAGGCTCAAATACATCCATTTGCCCCTCCTCATGCATAGCTCCTCCTCACACTGTGCCCCACACCAGGCCAGCGGTGTGCAGGATGCCGCATTCCGTATCCGGATGTGCCACGGCACCTGTTGGGTAGGGCTTGTTGATTTCCTTACACGGTCATCCGACAACAGGCTGCAATGTGCAGCATCGATGCTTGGCATGACTACAGAGATACACGCACACACACACACCATTCGGGATACTCCCAAACAAAAAGAAGGAAGGTTGCCCTGCAGCAAAATACAAGATCCTGCAAACACCGTGCTCATGAGTCATGCAAAGCGCGCAACGCAAAGCCGCTCAAACTGCAAACAACTGGCCCGAATGCGTGCGCAGCAAACAAACGCGTAGGCTCCTCATCCAATCGTGCGTTCGAACAGCCTCCCCTGCCAGCAATGCAAGATGCAGCCAGACAAAGCCTAGTCAAGGCACGAGTGCTAACTTGCAAATGGGGGCCCAGTGAACACGTTGGCGCATCCGTGACACTGTCATCCACCCAGCACAGGGTGGGTTGGCCGCAAACTCCCCATTGTGCCCACATGGGAGGCTCAAATAAATCCATTTGCCCCTCCTCATGCATAGCTCCTCCTCACACTGTGCCCCACACCAGGCCAGCGGTGTGCAGGATGCCGCATTCCGTATCCGGATGTGCCACGGCACCTGTTGGGTAGGGCTTGTCGATTTCCTCACACGGTCAACCGACAGCAGGCTGCAATGTGCAGCATCGATGCTTAGCATGACTACAGAGACACACGCACACACACACACCTTTCGGGATACTCCCAAACAAAAAGAAGGAAGGTTGCCCTGCAGCAAAATACAAGATCCTGCAAACACCGTGCTCATGAGTCACGCAAAGCGCGCAACGCAAAGCCGCTCAAACTGCAAACAACTGGCCCGAATGCGTGCGCAGCAAACAAACGCGTAAGCTCCTCATCGAAACAATTGTGCGTTCGAACAGCCTCCCCTGCCAGCAATGCAAGATGCAGCCAGACAAAGCCTAGTCAAGGCACGAGTGCTAACTTGCAAATGGGGGCCCAGTGAACACGCTGGCGCATCCGTGACACTGTCATCCACCCAGCACAGGATGGGTCGGCCTCAAACTCCCCATTGTGCCCACATGGGAGGCTCAAATAAATCCATTTGCCCCTCCTCATGCATAGCTCCTCCTCACACTGTGCCCCACACCAGGCCAGCGGTGTGCAGGATGCCGCATTCCGTATCCGGATGTGCCACGGCACCTGGTGGGTAGGGCTTGCTGATGTGCTTACACGGTCAACCGACAACAGGCTGCAATGTGCAGCATCGATGCCTGGCATGACTACAGAGACACGCACACACACACACACACCATTCGGGATACTCCCAAACAAAAAGAAGGAAGGTTGCCCTGCAGAAAAATACAAGATCCTGCAAACCCCGTGCTCATGAGTCACGCAAAGCGCGCAACGCAAAGCCGCTCAAACTGCAAACAACTGGCCCGAATGCGTGCGCAGCAAACAAACGCGTAAGCTCCTCATCCAATCGCGCGTTCGAACAGCCTCCCCTGCCAGCAATGCAAGATGCAGCCAGACAAAGCCTAGTCAAGGCACGAGTGCTAACTTGCAAATGGGGGCCCAGTGAACACGTTGGCGCATCCGTGACACTGTCATCCACCCAGCACAGGGTGGGTCGGCCTCAAACTCCCCATTGTGCCCACATGGGAGGCTCAAATAAATCCACTTGCCCCTCCTCATGCATAGCTCCTCCTCACACTGTGCCCCACACCAGGCCAGCGGTGTGCAGGATGCCGCATTCCGTATCCGGATGTGCCACGGCACCTGTTGGGTAGGGCTTGCTGATGTCCTTACACGGTCAACCGACAACAGGCTGCAATGTGCGGCATCGATGCCTGGCATGACTACAGAGATACACGCACACGCACACACACACACACACACACCATTCGGGATACTCCCAAACAAAAAGAAGGAAGGTTGCCCTGCAGCAAAATACAAGATCCTGCAAACCTCGTGCTCATGAGTCATGCAAAGCGCGCAACGCAAAGCCGCTCAAACTGCAAGCAACTGGTTCGAATGCGTGCGCAGCAAACAAACGCGTAAGAACCTCATCCAAACAATCGTGCGTTCGAACAGCCTCCCCTGCCAGCAATGCAAGATGCAGCCAGACAAAGCCTAGTCAAGGCACGAGTGCTGACTTGCAAATGGGGGCCCAGTGAACACGTTGGCGCATCCGTGACACTGTCATCCACCCAGCACAGGGTGGGTCGGCCTCAAACTCCCCATTGTGCCCACATGGGAGGCTCAAATAAATCCATTTGCCCCTCCTCATGCATAGCTCCTCCTCACACTGTGCCCCACACCAGGCCAGCGGTGTGCAGGATGCCGCATTCCGTATCCGGATGTGCCACGGCACCTGTTGGGTAGGGCTTGTTGATTTCCTTACACGGTCAACCGACAACAGGCTGCAATGTGCAGCATCGATGCCTGGCATGACTACAGAGATACACGCACACACACACACACACCATTCGGGATACTCCCAAAAAAGAAGAAGGAAGGTTGCCCTGCAGCAAAATTCAAGATCCTGCAAACGCCGTGCTCATGAGTCATGCAAAGCGCGCAACGCAAAGCCGCTCAAACTGCAAACAACTGGCCCGAATGCGTGCGCAGCAAACAAACGCGTAAGCTCCTCAACCAAACAATCGTGCGTTCGAACAGCCTCCCCTGCCAGCAATGCAAGATGCAGCCAGACAAAGCCCAGTCAAGGCAAGAGTGCTGACTTGCAAATGGGGGCCCAGTGAACACGCTGGCGCATCCGTGACACTGTCATCCACCCAGCACAGGGTGGGTTGGCCGCAAACTCCCCATTGTGCTCACATGGGAGGCTCAAATACATCCATTTGCCCCTCCTCATGCATAGCTCCTCCTCACACTGTGCCCCACACCAGGCCGGCGGTGTGCAGGATGCGGCATTCCGTATCCGGATGTGCCACGGCACCTGTTGGGTAGGGCTTGCTGATATGCTTACACGGTCAACCGACAGCAGGCTGCAATGTGCAGCATCGATGCCTGGCATGACTACAGAGATACACGCACACACACACACACCATTCGGGATACTCCCAAACAAAAAGAAGGAAGGTTGCCCTGCAGCAAAATTCAAGATCCTGCAAACACCGTGCTCATGAGTCATGCAAAGCGCGCAACGCAAAGTCACTAAACTGCAAACAACTGATTCAATGCGTGCGCAGGGCAAACAAACGCGTAAGCTCCCCAACCAAACAATCGTGCGTTCGATCTGCAAGTTTTACAATTGCCAGCCAGACAAAGTCTAGTCAAGGACTGCTTCCAGCCGCACATTTGCAAACGGCTTGGGCACGCTGGCGCATCCGCAGACACTGCCTAGCACAGGGTGGGTTGGCCGCAAACTCCCCATTGTGCTCACATGGGAGGCTCAAATACATCCATTTGCCCCTCCTCATGCATAGCTCCTCCTCACACTGTGCCCCACACCAGGCCGGCGGTGTGCAGGATGCGGCATTCCGTATCCGGATGTGCCACGGCACCTGTTGGGTAGGGCTTGCTGATGTCCTTACACGGTCAACCGACAACAGGCTGCAATGTGCAGCATCGATGCCTGGCATGACTACAGAGATACACGCACACACACACACACCATTCGGGATACTCCCAAACAAAAAGAAGGAAGGTTGCCCTGCAGCAAAATTCAAGATCCTGCAAACCCCGTGCTCATGAGTCATGCAAAGCGCGCAACGCAAAGCCGCTCAAACTGCAAACAACTGGCCCGAATGCGTGCGCAGCAAACAAACGCGTAAGCTCCTCAACCAAACAATCGTGCGTTCGAACAGCCTCCCCTGCCAGCAATGCAAGATGCAGCCAGACAAAGCCCAGTCAAGGCAAGAGTGCTGACTTGCAAATGGGGGCCCAGTGAACACGCTGGCGCATCCGTGACACTGTCATCCACCCAGCACAGGGTGGGTTGGCCGCAAACTCCCCATTGTGCTCACATGGGAGGCTCAAATACATCCATTTGCCCCTCCTCATGCATAGCTCCTCCTCACACTGTGCCCCACACCAGGCCGGCGGTGTGCAGGATGCGGCATTCCGTATCCGGATGTGCCACGGCACCTGTTGGGTAGGGCTTGCTGATGTCCTTACACGGTCAACCGACAACAGGCTGCAATGTGCAGCATCGATGCCTGGCATGACTACAGAGATACACGCACACACACACACACACACCATTCGGGATACTCCCAAACAAAAAGAAGGAAGGTTGCCCTGCAGCAAAATTCAAGATCCTGCAAACCCCGTGCTCATGAGTCATGCAAAGCGCGCAACGCAAAGCCGCTCAAACTGCAAACAACTGGCCCGAATGCGTGCGCAGCAAACAAACGCGTAAGCTCCTCATCGAAACAATTGTGCGTTCGAACAGCCTCCCCTGCCAGAAATGCAAGATGCAGGCAGACAAAGCCTAGCCAAGGCAAGAGTGCTGACTTGCAAATGGGGGCACGGCACCTGTTGGGTAGGGCTTGCTGATGTGCTTACACGGTCAACC